TATGCATATAAGTTTCATTTTCATAGATCATTGCTTATGTAGTTTGGTTTTCTGCTTATGCAGCATCTAAAAACAATTAAAGAAACCATTGGTTGTAATTTATCTCTCATTATCTTTAAAATGGCTTTTAACACCAGTTGTGAAATTATCTTTTCATGGCTATTTGCTTTTTGAATATTCTTTTTTTTAATAACTAAACTTGCTCTTTTTATTCTTTATAATTGATAGATTCTGTATGTTGAAACTTCTCAACCAGAAGAAAGAACCTTCACAGTGTCCTTTGTGTAAGAATGATATAACCAAAAGGTATATAATTTGGGTTATGATGGGAGGTTTGAAGCAACAACAACAGATTCCTTAATAAGATGGGTGGTGTTCCTATCAAACTATTCATCAGCAGAAAAAAGTACACAATTTTATACATTTAGCAGACAAATTCTTTTTTGTTTGTTTTGTTTTTGAATCACGCCTAGCTATAGTCAGGGCTTACTCCTGACTTTGAGCTCAGGGATCGCTCCTGGTAGATTTGCTAACAAGTAAGTGATTTTTTTATTTTTTTATTTATTTATTTTTTTTTTTGCTTTTTGGGTCACACCTGGCGATGCACAGGGGTTACTCCTGGCGATGCACACTCCGGAGTTACTTCTGGCGGTGCTCAGGGGACCATATGGGATATATGGGATGCTGGGAATCGAACCCGGGTTGGCCGCGTGCAAGGCAAACGCCCTACCTGCTGTACTATCTCTCCAGCCCTCAGACAAATTATTTCTAAAGCTATTTTCCCTTAGATTACACAGAATGTTTGCATTAAACAGATCACTTGATCACTTCTTGATCACTTCTCGTTAATCGTTGATTTGCTCGAGCGGGCGCCAGTAATGTCTCCATTTGTTCCTGTCGCGTGTTAGTGTAGCCCAATGGCGTCTGTTCGCTCTAGGAACATGAAGAGCCTCAAACCGATCGTTCATGATCTTGGTGAAGAAGTCTGACCATCTGGTAGGTGGGCAGCCACGCGGTCTTTTGACATCCCGTGGAATCCAGTCGGTAACAGCTCTAGTCCAGCGGTCGTCTCTAAATCTCATTATGTGACCAGCCCATCTGATTTTTGACACCTTGGCAAACGAGACAGTGTTCCTGATTCTTGATCGTCGATGGAGGTCAGAACTCCGGATTCTTTCTCTCATTTGAGTGAAACGTGATATTCCAGGCATAGCTCTTTCAATTCCTCTTTGGGAGACCCGAATAGCGTTCTCATCCTGTTTGCATAGGTCCCAGGTCTCTGAGGCGTATGTTAATGCAGGAAGAACAGTGGAATCAAAGAAGTGTGCCTGGAGCCGGAAGTTCTTCGTCCTCTTAGCTATTTCTTCGACGCTCTTGAAGGCGATCCAAGCCGCTCTCTTCCTCCTGCGCAGCTCGGGTGCCAGGTCATTTGTCATGTTGACCTCTCGACCTAGGTACACATAGCTGTTGCATTCGGAGATGGTCGTTCCGTTGAGAGCGAATGGGGCGTCAGGAACGAGGCTGTTTCTCATAAACATTGTCTTTGTAAGATTCAGCTGTAGTCCGACCTTTCCACACACACGTTCGAAGTCGGCCAGCATTTATGCTGCTTGGCTAATGTTTGGTGTTATTAAAACGATGTCATCAGCAAAGCAGAGGTGGTGTAATTGCCGACCATCTATCTTCACTCCCATTCCTTCCCATTCCAGTCATTGTATGATGTTCTCGAGGGTGGCACTGAAGAGTTTTGGTGAAATGGTAGCACCCTGCCGAACCCCTCTCTTGACATCAATGATTACTTCTTTGTAGAAAGAAGTAAACAGATGTTGGCCAATTTTCTTTTTCTAAAGCTTCTAAATGATGTAAGGGGGCTGGAGCGATAGCACAGCGGGTAGGGTGTTTGCTTTGCACGCGGGCAACCCCAGGTTCGATTCCTAGCATCCCGTATGGTCCCCCGAGCACCGCCAGGAATAATTCCTGAGTGCATGAGCCAGGAGTAAACCCTGAGCATCACTGGGTGTGACCCAAAAAGCAAAAAAAAAAAAAAAATGTAAGACTCTAGACTTCAATAAAGATAGTATTCTACCATCCTGCTTGCATTGTCTCTTTTTCTCTGGTCCTCTTTATTTTCTTCCTTGCATTTATTTCTTCCTTGCACTTAATTCTTTTTTTCCTCCCTTTTTTTGTTTTTTATTGACTCACCTTGAGATACACAGTTACAAAGTTGTTCATGATTGAGTTTCTGTCATACAGTGTTCTAGCACCCAACTCTTCACCAGTGTACATTTCCCACTACCAATTTCCCCCAGTTTCCCTTCTGCCACCTTTGCCTCCAGCCTGCCTCTATGGCAGGTACTTTTCTTCTTCTTTTACGCATTCTGGTTTGCAATTCAGGTACTGAAATATTATCATATATGTTACGTGACTTCTTTTCAGCATTCGATTCTTATCCAGAGTGATCATTTCCAACTATCATTGTTACAGTGATCCTTTCTCTGTCATAACTGCATTCTTCTTCGCCTGCCCCCCTACTATGGCAAAGTTGTTACCTGGCCCTTATTTCTGCTATTTTTGGATATTATTCTCATACTTTTTTTTTTTTATGTTTCTCAAATGAATGCAGTCATTCTGTGTCACTCGCCCCCTGACTGATTTCACTCAGCATGATACTCTTCATGTTCATCCGTGTATAAGCAAATTTCATGACCTTATTTTTCATGATGGCTGCATAATATTCCATTGTGTAGATGTACCATAGTTTCTTTATCCAGTCATCTCTTCTTGGACACTTGGGTTGTTTCCAGATTCTGGCTATTATGAATAGTGCTGCAGTGAACATAGAAGTGCAGATGGCTTTTCTGCATTGTGTTTTTGGGCTCCTCGGGTATATTCGCAGAAACAGTATTGCTGAGTCATATGGAAGCTCAATTTCTAGTTTTTTGAGGAATGCCCATATTGTTTTTCAAAAAGGCTGGACCAGGGGTTGGAACGGTAGTACAGTGGGTAAGGTGATTTTGTTGTACAGGCTGACCCAGGTTTGATCTCCTGCATCTCATATGGTCCCCTGAGCACCTCTAGGAGTAATTCCTGAGTACAGGGCCAGGAGTATCCCCTGGGCATTTCTGGGTGTCATCCAGAAAAGAAAAAGAAAAGCTGATTATTCGGCATTCCCACCAGCAGCAGTGAGAGTCCTTTTCTCCCACATCTGTACCAACACTGGTTTTTCTTGTTCTTTTTGATGTGTGCCAGTCTCTGTAGTGGCAGATATCTCATTGTTGTTTTGGTTTGCATCTCTGATGGTGAGTGCTATGGAGCATTTTTTTTCATGTGCCTTTTAGGTTTTTAGGAAGGGAAAAGAAGGAGACAATTTATTTGGCAGGGGAGGGTTTGGGGCCCCAAGTGGCAGTACTCAGTGTTTACTCCTGGCTCTGGGCTCAGAGCTTACCTTAGCAGTGATCAGGGTACCATATATGTTGCCGGGGATCAAACTGTTTATTTTTTTTCTGTTTTTTTTTTTTCTCTTTTTGGGTCACACCCGGCGATGCACAGGTGTTACTCCTGGCGGTGCTCAGGGGAACATATGGGATGCTGGGAATCAAACCCGGGGCCGGCCGTGTGCAAGGCAAAAACCCTACCCGCTGTGCTATCTCTCCAGCCCCGATCAAACTATTTTCAGTTTGTGCCTTTATACCTGTATGATCTCTTGATACTAGAACACTGTAGCACTGTAGCATTGTCCTCCCGTTCATCGATTTGCTTGAGCGGGTGCAGTAATGTCTCCATTGTGAGATTTGTTACTGTGTTTGGCATATTGAATACATCACGGGTAGCTTGCCGGCTCTTCGAGAAGGGTGGAAGAATCAAACTCAGGTCGGCTGGGTTGGCCAGGTTGGCTGCGTGCAAGGCAAACGCCCTACCCACTGTGCTATGGCTCCAGCCCATCCTAGACTACTACTTCAGATAATTACAGGTGGGCTTGGGTGAGCATCAGAGTTAGAGATGCAAAGGCAGTGCCATGACAGGTTCATAAAGAAACCAGAAAAAGCTAGGTCTAGGTTTCGGTTCCAGAATTCCTGGAATTGAGTCATGATTTCCCTGAAGTGAGATAGCCATGGTGAAATCAACTAAGGCTTACCAGTCAGATGCAGGTATGGAAGCCCCCGGCCCCCGCCCCACACCAATATAAACCTTATGTAACTCTTATGCAACTCTTATGTAACTCCAATTTATAATTAGTCAGCTAAGTAGCGGAAAGTCCCTCAGACTGTGGCCAAGAGGGTGGTCCACAGAAAGTCCCTGTTATATAATGTTATGGTATAAAAGCCCCTCACCTTTTTTTTCATTTTTTATAATTTTATTTGTTGAATCACTGTCTGAGCAGTTACAGAGCTTTTGGGTCTAAGTCTCGGTCATACAATGAAACACCAGTACCTTCACCAGTGCCCATTAGCCCCTCACTTTTGAGACTTGGGACCGCTTGTTCAAAGAAGTCTGCCACTGTGTCCGTGAGCCAGATGAGGGCCCTAGCTAGAACTAGTGAACTAGCCAATAAAGACACTTTGCTTATTGCATTGCAACTTGTCTTCGTGTGATTCCTCTGGGGAGATCTCGGCCTAGTTTAACAGGCACCTGTGTATGTGTAAAAACAGTATTGCCACAGTTAATTCTTGATGTTTTTTGTTGTTTGTTCATGTGTATATGTGTTTTGCAGTGGTTTGGGGGCACTACCCAGCAATGCAGTCTCACTCCTAGCATTGCTCAGAGCACCATATAAAGTGCCAGGGATCGAACTCGGTCTATCATGTGCAAAGCAAGTGCTCTACCTGCTATATTATCTTTCCAGCTCCTCTGGTTTTGATTATAATGTAATGTCTCTAGTAGCTCTATTACATGAGTTTAGATTTTCTACTGTTGCTACATGTTATTTTTGTTTCCACATCTTGTTTAGTTTTTAAAAAGTTAATCATTTGCTCCGTATGCCTCTCAATTTTAGAAGTCTGCAAGAAAGTACAAGATTCAGCCAGCTTGTGGAAGAACTATTGAAAATCATTCATGCTTTTGAACTTGACACTGGATTACAGTGTAAGTGTTGTATAATCCCTAAGACCAATGATCAGCCCATTAAAATATCTAAGTTTTACAGATTATCTTTCCCTTTCCTTTGTTTATGTTGTTGCAGTGATTAGAGGTTGCACACATTCGATTGTGGTGCTCACACACTTTGTGATTGTGTGGATTGTACACTTTTTTTTCTGGGGCCGGAAGGTCACCCATTCAGTGGTGCTCAGGGGACCATATGGGATGCTGGGATACAACTTGGGTCAACCATGTGAAAGGCAACCCACTATATTATTGTTCCAGCCCCTGGATTGTACACTTTATTTTCTATTTTTGAGGGGTGATTTGACCACACCTGGTGGCATCAGGGCTTTTTCCTGGCTCTGCACTCAGTGACACTCCTGGCAGATCTTGGGGAACTATGTGGGTATCAGAGATTGAACCTAGGACAGCCACATGCAAGCCAAGCACCCTATACACTATACTGTATTTCTGTATCTCCAGCTCAGGATTGTCACTTGATTTGTGGTGCTTCCACCTGTATTGGGGTCAGCATTCATTTTGTGATGCTCACAGACATTCTGGTTGTTATTACTGGAAGTTATTGTGATACTCACATAGAGGCTCGCTTGGGTCACACTGACTGTAGTGCTCACAGATTTTCTTTTTACCCAGTGTCAGAAATCTAACCCAAGTGTTTAGGGATCTGTCATTGCAGTGTATTCACAGAAGGTCACACACTTGAGCTGTGGCGCTTACCCATAATTGTCTGCTTCAGAGATAACACCGTTGTAGCACTGGGGGTCCTAGATAACAGTCACTGAAGCCAGATACTTTTCATGAGGATAGCAGTAGGGATTGAACCCTGCCTTATGCTTGTACTGAAGGCACTTAAAGCCACTAAGCAGGGGCTGGAGCGATAGCACAGAGAGTAGGGTGTTTGCCTTGCACGCGGCCCCAGCATCCCATATAAACCCAAAAGCAAAAAAAAAAAAAAAGCCACTAAGTAGTCTCCAGAGCCATTAAACAGTTGTTTTCTGTGAATAGGTGATAAGATCTTTTGGTCTTGGTTAAGCTCTTTATCTACAGTCCATCTTCAAGATCACTTCCACCAGTATGTCATCTTATTTTTATAGGTACTAAGATGCACATTTCTACATTTTGGCATCACTAATATTGGAAACAATTTAGCATTGATGTTTCATTGTTTAATTTTGTATGCTTTCTTAGTGTTACAGAAAAAGAATTGTGATATTTATAGATGAATTTGTTATTGAAATGAGGAAAAAGTAAATCAGAGGGAGGGGATGTGACGCGGTGATAAAGCACATGTCTTGATTATTCAATCCCTTCTACCAACCCTCCCTCCATAATAAAAGAATTTTTGTGGGGGTGGCCTCCCAGGTGATACTTAGGGGCTACTCTCAACAATGCTCAGGCCACCAGGGCCACTGGTTAATGCTAGGACCCGATGATGCAGTACTACTTGTGCCCTGTGGTGTTGGGACCGCTAGGGCTGCACTTGGTAATGTTTGGGAAGCTGTCTGGTGCTAGGGATCAAACCCAGGCATAGGTGCTAGGCATGCATCTTGGCTGCTGTGCCATCTCCTGATCCCAAGAGGTAGGAAGAACTGATAGCCTGTGTTTTCCTAGTAATAGAATTTCCGAAGTTGAATATTTTTTTAGATTGAATATATTTCAGGTTGAGCACTTACGTGCTCAGGAGCTACATTTTAGGGTGGGTTGTTGGAGACTCCAAGACTCCCACCTTGGTGCTGGAGGACTAAGTGATGCCAGGGATCAAATAGAAATTGATCACAAACAAGGCAGGTGCTTTAGCTCTTATACTATCTCTCTGGTTACAAAGTTTTACTGTTTTTTGTTTTGTTTTGTTTTCTTTTTTTAAATTGTAACCTTAATGCATTTTTCCCCCTTTGGCCACACCTGACAAAGTTCAGGGGTTACTCCTGACTTTGCACTTTGGTATTACTGGTAGTGCCCAGGGAACCATATGCAGTTCTGGGGATCAAACCTGGGTTATCCGCATGCAAGACAAACACCCTCCCCTCATTACTATCTCTGACCCTACTGACACATTGTCTTAATGCACAAAGTATAAAGGATTTATCTAGGTTGTTTGATTATAATTAATATGTTTTCCTAACTCTTCTAGTTGCAAACAGTTATAACTTTTTGAAAAAGGAAAATAATGCTACCGAACATCTAAAGGAGGAGGCTTCTATTATCCAAAGTATGGGCTACCGAAACCGTGGCAAAAAACTTCGACAGACTGAAACTGAAAATTCTACTCTGGTAAAGCCCCTTTCATTTACTCTGATACCTCTTTTTTTTTTCTTTTTGGGTCACACCCGGCAATGCACGGGGGTTACGCCTGGTGCTGTGCTCAGGAATTACCCCCGGCGGTGCTCAGGGGACCATATGGGATGCTGGGAATCGAACCCAGGTCAGCCGCGTGCAAGGCAAACGCCCTACCCGCTGTGCTATTGCTCCAGCCCCATCTGATACCTCTTTTTGAGTATTGAGTTAATGATGTGCTTGATGATCATGGGCTTAAGGAGAGATTCAGTAAACAAACTAGATGGTAAATTAAGTGATTGGTCAAGTGTTCTAATGCTAGAGATATTGAGGAAGGTCACATATTGTTTGAGCAAGAGAGACCTTGTAGAAACAAGATAGTACAGTGGGTGAGGCACTTGCCTTGCATGAGCCCAGCACCACATATGGTCTCCTGAACACAATTGGGTGTGACCCAGAAACAAACAAAAAAGACATTATGGGCCCTTCCCTTGCTTTAATGCTTTGTTTTGATGCTTATAAATAACCACAAGGTCACTGGTGGTTTTATTTTATTTTTTAAATTTTTTAAATTAAAAAATTTTTTCTTTTTGGGTAACACCCGGTGATGCTCGGGTTACTCCTGGCTCTGCACTCAGGAATTAATCCTAGCGGTGCTTAAGGGACCATGTGGGACGCCATGGATCACACCCAGGTGAGCTGTGTACAAGGCAAATGCCTTACCTGCTGTACTATCACTCTGGCCCCTCACTGATTATTTTAACATTTTTTCCTTTTTATTGTTGTTGTTGTTGTTTTGGTTTTGTTTTTTGGGCCACACCCATCGGTGCTCAGGGATTACTTCTGGCTCTGCACTCAGGAATTATTCCTGGCAGTGCTCTGGGGACTATTTGAGTTGCCAGGGACAGAGCTGGGGTCAGCCTGTGCAAGATAAGTGCACTACCAGCTGTACTATGGCTCTGGCCCCCAAACTGGCTAGCTTTTATTAATTATCTAATGACAATTCTCTAAGCACAAGGGAACATCTTTTATTTCCTCTGAAAAGTTGCTTGGGGAAAAAAAATATCAGATCTTAGTATTTGAAAACTGTTTTAACTTAGAAGCTCTAATTGTTAAAGAAAATACAATGATTTGCTCAGTAATTTGGTGTTATTTGTATGTGACTGAATAATGGAGATCTTAAAAAATATAGCTCCCGTGATATTAAGCAGTTTTTAGCATGCATTGAATGGTTCAGAGTGAATAAGAAAGCTTCATTACTCTGAAGCTTTGTCAGAGTAATTTTGAACTTTAAAATGCTCTTTTCTGTACTATTCATGGGCCAGAGAGATAGTCCAGCAGCTAATATGTTTGCCTTGCACATAGCCACCCTGATTCGATCTTTGGCACCACATGCGTCCTGTGAGCACCTCCAGGAGTGACTCCTGACCACAGAAAACAAAACAAGAAAATGTTCTTAGGAATCCTTTTGTTTCATTATTTTAATTTTCCTTTTTACAAGTTTATCTTAGTTGCCAGCCCTGTTACCAAATATAATTTGAAATGTATAAGTGAATCTATTTTCTTTCTACATTATTTTTACAGCATTAACTTTAAGGTGCTTTGGGGTTTTGTTTGTTTTGTTTTCTGGGTTTTGAGCCGCACGTGATGCTACCCAGGGCTTCCTCCTAGCTCTGTGCTCAGGATCACCTAGAAGAACCTAGAAGAACCCAGGGGACCATAATAGGGTATTGGAGATTGAACCTGGGTTAGCCATGTGCATGGCCACGTGCCAAACGCTCTACCTTCTGTACTGTACTGTCTTCAGCCCCTAAGATGCTTTTCTTATATTTAAAAAAATTCCTTAAATAATATAGTCAGTTTTGAAAATTTTGAAGCAACAGAGAAAGGGAAAATGTTTTCAGATTACATATAACTCAAACATTTTGGTGTATACCATGCCAGTTATTTTTTTCAGGTGCATACATTTTAGCTAGTTGATTATGATCTGTTTGTATTGTTCGTGGCTTTGAATTTCTCTCAGGAAAAAAAACCCAGAACAAGCCAATATTTCATTGATCATTCTTACTGTACTGTTTAGCAGGAATCCAGTCTGAGTGTCAAACTTTCTAACCCTGGAATTGTGAGATCTCTGAAGACAAAGCAGCAGCTACAATCCCGTAAAAAGTCTGTCTACATTGAACTTGGTAAGAATTTCAGATTTTCTAATTTTTTTAGATTAATGGTTGCTGGATTCTCTGTCTTCTGATCTTATCAAAAATTTTGATCATTTATACATGCAATGTAGAGCTTTGGGAAGTGAAAATAACTTTAATAGCCTAGGATCTGTTATAAATAATGAATTGGAGGAAAAATAATAAATCAGATGAAACTCTTACCTATGAGGAAGCTTATTTTGAAGAAAGCAAAAAAGAAAAAGATCTCTTATTGTAGGTATGTTTAAATATATTTTGGAAAAATGAAGGGTAACAAAAAAAATGGTGGATTGGTTATAGCACTTAGAGGGAGCCAAGTAAATTGTCTTGGACTAGCGAGTCTTTTTTGGAGCGATAGCACAGCGGTAGGGCATTTGCCTTACAAGCGGCCAACATGGCCGACCCGAGTTCGATTCCTCCGCCCCTCTCGGAGAGCCTGCCAAGCTACCCGTGGCGTATCCGATATGCCAAACACAGTAACAACAAGTCTCATGATGGAGACATTACTGGGCCCGCTCGAGCAAATCGATGAACAATGGGAGGACCGTAAGGTTTCAGTCATAGAGTCCTGATCATTTGTTTTGGGGCCACACCTGGTGATGCTTAGGGCTTATTCCTGGCTCTGCACTCAGGAATTACCTCTAGCAGTGTTTGGCAGACCATATGGAATACTGGGGATTGAACCCAAGTCGGCTGCATGCAGGGCAAGCTCCCTACCTGCTGTACTATTGCTCTAGCCCTGATTATATGGATCTTATTGTATTACAGTTAGTATTTAAATGGTAAGAATTTCCTTTGAAGTCCTAAGCACCACTATATGTTTATCTTAAATTACATTTACCAGATTATCTTGAAATTATTGGTCGTTTCCTCTCTTAAGATCTAATGTTTTAGGGGCCAGAGCAATGGTACAGCGGGTAGGGCATTTCCCTTGCATGATGCTGACTCAGGTTCTATCCCGGCATCTCTTACGGTACCCTGAGCACTTCCAGGAATGATTCTTGAGTGCAGAGCCAGGAGTAACCCTTGAGCATAGCCAGGTGTGACCCCCCCCCCCAAAAAAAAATCTAATGTTTTGGGGCTGCAGTGATAATACAGTGGGTGCTATCCCAGCCTGCCAATGCAGGTTTGATCCTTAGCATTCCATATGGCCCTCATTGTACCGCCAGGAGTAATTTCTGAGTTCAGAGCCAGGAATGACCCTTGAGCATTGCTGGATGTGACACAAAAGTCAAGAGAAAAAAAAACCAAAAAACTTTTTAAGAAAATAGGTTTTGTCATAAAAATAATCACAATAGCAAATAACATAGAACTGTTTAACATTATCTGATACTGTGTATTTTATTTGTTTAATTCATTTAAGATGCATGACAAACCTGTATTTATTACTATTATTAGACTTATTTTAAACATGAAAATTAAGAAAATAAGAAGGTTAAGAAATTTATCATGATAGTAAAACTTGTAAGTGACAGGGCTATGGTTCAAACCTAAGATGCCTTTTTGGGAGTTCTATTTAACTACTACTTCATGATGCCTGATATATTTTTAATTGTGCTTGCAAAATATTGGTGCTCAGTACTTAATTAAATGACTATTTGGCTTATAAAAGAATACTTTTATGAACTTAATCCTCTTACTAAAAATGTTTACTGATTTTGTTATGTGGGGTATTTGGGGAATTTTTTAGGATCTGATTCTTCTGAAGATTCATTTAATAAAGCAAGTTATTGCAGGTGAGTGAAAGAGAACCTTTGTTTTATGAAGCTGGTGTGTTTATTATTATTAAGGATTGGTGTGTTCTTTAGGTTAGGGTTATAGTATTGGAACAGATATTTAAAATTATCTCCTTTTGGACTGGGAGGTGGTATAGGGGACTGGAGTGTGTGGTTCTGTGTGTGGGTTGGTTTTTTTGGGGGTTTTTTTTTGTTTTTTTTTGGCTTTTTGGGTCACACCCGGCAATGCACAGGGGTCATTCCTGGCTCTGCACTCAGGAATTACTCCTGGCAGCGCTCAGGGGACCATATGGGATGCTGGGAATCGAACCTGGGTCGGCCATGTGCAAGGCAAACGCCCTACCTGCTGTGCTATTGCTCCAGCCCCTGTTTTTTTTTTTTTTTTTTTTTTTTTAAGGGAGGTAAGAGGACCTTCTGGCAGTTCTTGGCTGTGTTGGTAAAAAAAAAAAAAAGTAATGTGGAGTTCATGCTCAGTTCAATCGGTTTAATCAATGGCTGAACAAATAGCAATACTTCTACATTGTTTAAAAAAAAAAAGAAAAAAATAATAAATTTTTAAAAAAACACCTCAGTGCTTAGGCCCAAGGATGTATGTAGTACCTGGAATCACCAGAGCCAGACAAATCATGCTGGCTAGGAGTGCGGGAAAACAACTACTTTTGTTCTTTTATTATAATTCTTTACAGACTTAATTCCAACAGTTGGTTCTCTAGTTTCTTATATACAGTGAATGGTATTGACACAGTGATAACTATAGATGATGAAAATATCAGAGAACTCCATTTACTTTTTTTTTTTAATTTTATTTATTTTTTGCTTTTTGGGTCACACCTGGCAGTGCACAGGGGTTACTCCTGGCTCATGCACTCAGGAATTACTCCAGGTGGTGCTCAGAGGACCAGATGGGATGCTGGGGATTGAACCCGAGTTGGCCGCGTATAAAACAAACGCCCTACCTGCTGTGCTATCGCTTCAGCCCCCTGTTTTTTTAATTTTGGGCCACATCTGGTGGTTCCAGTTCCCTACTGAGTTACTTCTTATGAAATTGATTTCCCTTGGATTTATTGTATGAACCTAAGATCTGTAATAGCTCTATGGTGGTATCATTACCAATCAAATTTTGCTTACAGATAACTTTCCTAATCTCTCAATTGGGAAGAATTTTTTGTTTTTGTTTGTTTGCTTACTATTTTATGACTGTCTCCTCAGGTTTTTGTTGGTTTGTTTTGGTTTGGGGGCCATACCTTGCAGTGCTCGGGGATTACTCCTAGCTCTGTGCTCAGGGATCACTTCTGGTGAGATACATGGGTTGCCAGGATGTGTGCATTACTAAAGGAAAGTGCATATTTCTAAAAGTGAATCATGCTGATCATATCTAGACAACAAAAAGACTTGATCTTGCTCATTTGGCATTTTGAAGAGCATGTAAGTAGTATTTCTCATTACGGCTTTTCTCTTTTCCTTATAGTTTGGGAGACAATGGATTGTTACAAATCATCCCTCGTGAAGCCAATATTGAAACCAGTGTGAATTCTGCAAAAAAAGGTATGACAAGTTTTCCCAACTTAATTGAATGAAGAGAAGAGACTATATATAGTTCTGAAACCGGATTACTCTGAAATCAATTTGGACGTTTATAACTCACATTTTGGACTGGGAATGTGACTCATTCGTGAACTACTTTCCTTGCACATGTGAAATCCTGGGTTTGATCCCCAGCACAACAATAACAAAGTCTATAATTCATAACATCTCATGGCAGGATTAGAATATCATTCTTTCTCCGAAGTCATGTTATATTCTGGTCTATTTCAGTGACATTACACTGATGTAATAGTTTCCTATTGTTATCTTTTAATTCATCTGCATTTGAAATTCATCTTTTGTATACTTGTCTTTTAATATAGGATGCATGAATTTGAAGCTGAAACATAGAACTGTGGGTCATATACTTAGCTTACTTTTTAATTCACTGTTAGAGAATAGAGAAATAGTAGGAAAGGCCGGGGTCATAACCCAACTGTAAAGTGGATGTTTTGCATGAGGAAGAGGTGGTGGAGGGGGAGGGAATGTTATAGTTAGGAATAATTTCAACATTACAATTTGACTTATTTTGATGGGTGAAAGGGGAGTTTGGGCCATATCTGATGGTGCTTAGGTGCTACTTCTAGATCAGTGTTCAGGGTTCACTCCTGCTGGTGTTCAAGGAACCATATTCTTTATGTGGTTTCAGGGACTAAATTGCAGTTTGCCATATGCAAGTGCCTTAACACCTGTACTGTGTTTCTGGTCCCAAAATTAATTTTAGTGCAAAAATGTTAAGACGATAGACATAGAAATAATGCATGAAAAAAACGAGCTATAGCTTCAGAATACTTTCTAGTTTTAGGGTTAAAAATCTTTAAAATAGAGAGTTGCTTCATTTCTCCTCTTAAGTTGTATTATATACATATCATTTCATAATTACATTTTAAGAGCCCTGTTACTTTTGTGTACTTTCAGCTGTTTGTGAGTTTTCTGAGGACATTACAGATACTGAACATCATCAACCTAGTAATAAAGATTTGACCACCACTGAGAAGCATACTGCAACTGAGAAGGATACAGAAAAGTATCAGAGTATTTCTGTTTCAAGCTTGCACGTGGAGCCATGTGGCACAGATAATCGTGCCAGCTCATTACAGCCTGAGAACAGCAGTCTCACTAAAGACAGAATGTATGTAGAAAAGGCTGAATTTTGTCATAAAAGCAAACAGCCTGGCTTAGCAAGGAGCCAACAGAGCAGATGGACTGAAAGTAAAGGAAACTATGATAGACAGACTTTCAGCACAGAGAAGAAGGTAGAGCTGAGTGCTGATCCCCTATCTGGGAGAAAACAACCTAATAAGCAGAAATTGCCATGCTCTGACAGTTCTGGAGATTCCCAAGAGGTGACTTGGATATCTCCAAACAGTAGCATACAGAAAGTTAATGATTGGTTTTCCAGAAGTGGTGATGTATTATCTTCTGATGATCTCCATGATGAAGGGTCGGAATCAAATACTGAAGTAGCTGAAATAATAGAAATTTCAAGTGCAGCAGATGAATTTTCTGGTTCTTCAGAGAAAATAGACTTAACGGCCAGTGAAAGTAGAAGAGCGCTCTCCAAACCAGTAGAGAGTAATATTGAGGATAAAATTTTTGGGAAAACCTATCGGAGGAAAACAAGCTTCCCTAACTTGAATCGCATAACCGAAGATGCAATACTAGGATCAGCTATCCTAGAACGTCATATAGCACAAGAGCCTCATATAGCACTAGAGCAACCCTTCACAAACAAATTAAAACGTAAAAGAAGCGTAACATCAAGCCTTTCTCCTAAAGATTTTATCAAGAAAGTGGATTTGGCAGTTGTTCAAAAGACTCCTGAAAAGGTAATCGAGAAGAGTGACCAAATTGATCAAAATGGCCAGGTGATAAATATTACTACTAATGGTCAAAGTGAAATAAAAAGTGATTATGTCCAAAAAGAGAAAAATGTTAACCCAACAGAGTCATCAGAAAAAGAAAGCACTTTCAAACATAAAGGTGGACCTATAAGTAGCAGTATAAGCAATATGGAACTAGAATTAAATATTCACAGTTCTAAAACATCTAAGAACAGACTAAGGAGGAAGTCCTCCAGTAGGCATATTCATGCACTTGAAGTAGTGGTCAATAGAAATCCAAGTCCACATAATCATATGGAACTGCAGATCGATAGTTGTTCTAGCGGTGAAGAGATAACGGAAAAAAAGTTTGATCAAATACCAGTCAGGCACAGTAAAAAGTTTCAACTCACAGAAGACAAAGAATTATCAACTGGAACCATCAACAGCAATGAACAAAATGAGCAAATAAATACAAGAATTTCTGGTGATATTTTTTCAAAACTAAATTTAGTGAATGACTGTTCAAGAGCTAATGAACTTCAAGAGTTTGTCAATCCTAGCCTTCAAAAAGAACTAGAAGAAAACATAGGAACAATTCAAGAATCCAGTAATCCCAAGGATCTGAGATTAAGTCGAGGAAAATGTTTGCAAATTGAAAGATATGTTGAAAATACTGGTATTTCATTGGCACCTGATACCGATTATGGTAGTCAGGATAGTATCTCATTACTGGACACTGACGCCCTGGGGAAGCCCAAAAAAGCACCAGATCAACTAATTGAAAACCCAAAGAAACTTACCCTTGGTTGTACTAAAGATTCTAGAAATGACACAGAAGACATTAAGGGTCAACTGAAATATGAAGGTAACCACACTCAGGAGGCAAGTATAGAAGAGAGTGAACTTGATACACAGTATTTACATAATACCTTCAAGGCTTCAAACCGTCACTCGTTTTCCCTACTTTCAAACCCAGGGAACTCAGAAAAGGAATGTTCGACAGTCTTTGCCCACTCTGGGTCCTTAAGGAAACAAAGTCCAAAAGACACACTGGGCTATGAACAAAAAGAAGGTTATGGGCCAGAAGAATCTAAAATGAAGCATTTGCAGTCGATACATACAACTTTAAGCTTTCCTGGGATTTGTCAAAAAGGTAGTCCTGGTGATTATGCCACATGTAGCATAAAAGGAGTCTCTAGATTTTGTAATTCATCTGAGTTTAGAGACAGTGAAACTGAACTCACCAATCCAAATTTAAATTTACAAAATCCACATGTACCATCACTTTCACCTAACCAGTCATCTGTTAAAACTCTCTGTAAGAAAAACTTACCAGAGGAAATGTTTGAGGACCATTCACCTTCATCCAAAAAAGCAATGGGAAATGGGAGCATCATTCAAAATACAGTGAGCACAATTAGCCAAAGTAATAGCAGAGAAAATGCTTTTAAAGAAGTCAGCTCAAGCACTATTAATGAAGTAGGTTCTAGCACCAATGAAATAGGCTCTAGTGTTAATGAAGTAGGTTCCAGTGGTGAAAATGTGAAAGCTGAACGTGGTGGAAACAGAGGACACAAGTTAAATACAGTTCTCAGACAAGTTCTTAGGCAGCCTGAAGTCTATAACCGAAGTCTTCCTGTAGGCAGTTGTACTCATCCTGAAATAAAGGGACGACAAGAAAATGAAGTTGTCCAGACCGTTACAACAGATTTTTCTCCATGTCTAATTTCAGATAATCCAGAAGAATTAATGGGTAGTAATGCTTCTTCGGTTTGTTCTGAGACTCCTGATGACCTGGTAAATGATGATGAGATCAAAGAAATAAGTTTTGCTGAAAGTGATATTAAGGAACAGTCTGCTATTTTCGGTAAAAATGTTCAGAAAAGAGAATTCAAAAGAAGGCCTCACCCTTTTGATGATACAGGCTTGGCTCAGGTTCACCTACGACGGTCCAGGAAATTAGAGTCCTCCGAAGAAGACATGACTAGTGAGGATGAAGAGCTTCCTTGCTTCCAACACTTACTATTTGGTAATGCAGCCAATAAACCTCAATCCACCAGGGATAATTCAGTTGTCTCAGAGAATTCATCTAAGAAAACAGAGGAAAACTTAGAGTCATTGAAAAATAATTTATCTGATGGCAGCAACCAGGTTACATCAGCAAAGGCATTCCAGGAATATCACTATAGCAGGGAACCAAAATTTTCTAGTAGCTTATTTTCTTCACAGCATAGTGCATTAGAAGACTTGACTGCTAATACAAACACACCAGATCCTTTCTTAGTGTTGGATCCTCCCTCCAAAGTGAGGTATCACTCTGAAAATCAAGAAGTTCTGAATGATGAGTTCATATCAGATAATGATGAAATGGAAACTGGCCTGGAAGAGGATAATCAAGAAGAGCAGGATTCAAACTTAGGTATTAGAATGTGTGTGTGTGTGTGTGTGTGTGTGTGTGTGTGTGTGTGTCCCAGTTTATAGAAATGAGCTAAAGAGGCTGGGATGTGTCTCATCAGTTGAGCTCATTGCTTTGCATTTGTATGGTGCCCTGGGTTTGGTCCCTAGCACTACAGAAAGAAAAAACAGAAAGGAAAAAAAAAAATGGGCCTAATATCTTTTGGGGAGCACATTTTTATGAGTTTCCAAGTACAATTAAAGTAACCGCTCTTAGACATTAAACATAGGTTTATCCTAACCAGCTGGAATATTTTCTATATTTGAATTGAGATTAAATGCTCTGAATGTTGGTGGATATGATTGTAGCTTTTGTGGTTAAGATTTTTAAGAAAAGATAGCTTAGCTGATTGTTCCAAAACAAAGAGAACAAAGAGAATAATCATTTGGTGTGGCATGAAAGTAAAATATGTCACTGGGAAGTAACAGATATAAAGCAAGTTGAGGTATTTGCTGTTTGTTTTTACATCTGAATCTCTTGTTTAAGGTAAAGCAGCTTCTGGGTATGTGAGTGAAACAAGTTTCTCTGAAGACTCTTCAGAGCTGTCCTCTCAGAGTGCTATTTTAACCACTCAGGTAAAAAAAAAAGTTTGGATATGTGAGTGTGATGTCCTACATATTCAGGGGGGTAAATTCCTCCTTAGATTTACTATCCTAGTCTTTCCCAAAGTCCGCTGTATTCCCCCTGTGTATGGGGAGGTCACGGGGGAGGAGAGGGGAAACTAGAATAATCCAAGGAGACCTTGGTGGTAGGCACTTAAAGGTAGATTTCCAGAGTAAGCCTGAATAAATTTTTTGTTCTGTTCTGGGGCCACACCTGGCAGTGCTCAGTATTTACTCCTGGCTCTGTGCCTGAGCATACCTCAGTGATCCCTGAGGATCACTCTTGGTGGTACTCAGGGGACTGTATGTGGTGCTAGGAATTAAACCCAGGTTGACTGCCTGCAAGACAGGTGTCCTACCTGTTATTCTACCTCAATGGCCCCTGAATGATTTTTTCTTACTATTTTTTGGGAGGTGAATGTGGGCCACACCTGGCACTGCTCTGCGGCTATTTTTGTCTATGACCCCTGGTGGTGCTAGGGGAGGGTACTATATGTTGTACCAGGTATTCAAATAGGGGTCAGCTACATGCAAACATGCTCATATTGTACTCTCTATCCCCAGTATGAATGATTTTAATAGCAAAGCATTTTCAGTGACAACTTTTAAAACTGTTCTTATAGACTCTGGTTCTATTTGTTTTGTTTTTTGCTTTTTGGGTCACACCCAGCAATGCACAGGGGTTACTCCTGGCTCTGCACTCAGGAGTTACTCCTGGCGGTGCTCAGGGGACCATATGGGATGCTGGGAATCGAACCCGGGTCGGCCGCGTGCAAGGGAGACGCCCTACCCGCTGTGCTATCTCTCCAGCCCCTGACTCTGGTTCTATTTGTATCCTAATTTCTGTTTTATAGAAGTTGTACCAGAATTTTCCCAAGTTCTCCTTTTTAAAAAATTCAGGCATCTGAGGCTGGTGAAATAAATTTGCCTTGCATGCAGCTGATGCAGATTCGATTCCTGGCACCCCTTATGTTCCCCCAAACACTGCCAGGAGTAATTTTCTGAGTACAGATCTAGAAGTAACCCCTGAACATCACTGCGTATAGCATAAAAGCACTGTAGCACTGTCCTCCCATTGTTCATCAATTTGCTTGAACGAACACCAGTAACAACAAATTGTGAGATTTGTTACCGTTTTTGGCATATTGAATACGTCACAGGTAGCTTGCCAGGCTTTGCCGTGCGGGCAAGATACTCTTGGTAGCTTGCCGGGCTCTCTGAGTTGGGCAGAGGAATCAAACCTGGGTTGGCCGCGTGCAAGGCAAATGCCCTACCTGCTGTGCTATCACTCCAGCCCTAAGGCATAAAAAAGAAAAGAAAAAAATATGGCATAAAAAAGAAAGCAAACTTTTTTTCAGGCATTTCAGCTTGAAAAACAAATTTTTTCAGCTTATTCAGAATAGCAATGATTGTTGATGGTAATATTTGAGTGTTCAATAACTGGCTATGTAGTAAGTTTGCTTACCTCCTTTGAAAAGTAATATGCACATAAAATGGAGGTGGCTGACCACCTTGAATCATCCTGTTGTGGCTTTTCTCATACATTTTTCGATATATCAATAAATCTTTAATTGACAGAAAGTAAATGGCTTTTTTTGATTGTGTTTGTTTTGGGAGCCACACTCAGTGATTCTGAGGGGTTAGCTTTGCATTCAAATCACTCCTGGTGGTACTCGGGGAACCATATAGGGTGCCGTGATTGAATTCTAGTCAACCACCTGCAAAGCAAATTGCCCTACCCTCTGCACTATCTCTCTGATTCCCCTCCCTTATTTTTTTAAAGTTTATTAGGAGATCAGGAAGGCCAGCAACCAAGGTAAAGGCATAAAGAATACAAAGAGGAATGAAATACAGAGAAAATACAATATTATCCTGTGTGACTGGAAAGGGAGGCGAAATGTGTGCTATTGGGGCAAAATGATAGATACAAAGGTAAAACTGATCTTTTGAGTGTTAAAGAATTTGGTCTTTATCTTGAGAACACTAGAGAATAGTAATAGAGTGTTCTGACAAAATTTTCTAAGCAGTGGTATACTACAAAGGTTCTTGTGGGTGAAAGACTAGACAGTCAGGGAACTTTCACATAACATAGCTGTATTAAAATGGGATCAGGGACTAGAACAATAGTGTAGTGGATAGGGTGTTTGCCTAGCACGCAGTTGGCCCAGGTTCAATCCCTGGCATCCCATATTGTCCCCTGATTACTTCTAGGAGTAGTCTTGTTTGTTTTTTTGTTTTGTTTTGTTTTCGGTAGTTCTTGGGTGCAGAGCCAGGAGTAACCCCTGGGCATTACCAGATGTGGACCCAAACAAACAAAAAGACAAGAGCCAATAAATATACAATTTTCAAAAAAAAAGTGCGCTACCAGGAGCCTGAGTGATAGTACAGCGGAGAAGGCGTCTGCCTTGCATGCAGCTGACCCGGGTTCAATCCCCAGCGTCCCATGTGGTCCCCTAGCACCACCAGGAGTAATTCCTGAGTGCAGAGCCAGGAGTAACCCCTGAGCCTTGCCGGGTGTGACCAAAAAAAAAAAAGAAAAGCACTGCATCCTCTAATAAGCTTCACAACACCTGGGCTAGGAGTGCTTCTCTTGCCAAGCACACCCAAATGTTGGGAGTACCACAGCCAAGTCCATGATCCCTCATTATCACAGCAGCAACAAAGGGGAGAGGAATAATTAGAATCAAGACCACTTGATAGCCTACTTGGTTTTGTTTTCCCAGAGGTATTTGACCAATCATCAACAGGGGAGTTTTTCTAAGTGATAAAAATTATTCCTTTGGAAATATCCAAAGTAAAAGTTGTTAACTATAATTTTCCAATTACATTTTTGCTTTTTGGGCCAAACCTGGTGGTGCTCAGGGCTTACTCCTGAATCTGCACTCAGGGATCACTCCTTGGCAAGACTTGGGGCACCAGAGTACTGGGGATCAAACTCAGATCGGCTGCTTGCAAGGCCAGCATTCTACCCACTGTACTATCCTCCTCTCCCCTAGACAAGGGTTTGATTGGTGACAGAGCTACTCACAAACACCACAAGATGGCAATAGTGCTGCTGCAGAGGTTAGCAGCAAAACCGTCTTGGCAGCAGCAGAAGTCTTCCCATTTTCTGGTCATAAATTCTGAAAACTATGAACTCACTGTAGCAGAAGAAAGTCAATGTTTTTAGTAGAGAGCAAAATAACTTTCAAGATCAGAAGAAACAGAAGGCGAAATAATCTATTTCTCCATGGTTTGTTGACAACAATTGATATTTCTTGTGAAAGAGATAAAGATAAATCTATTTTGGAGAGCTCCTCATTTACCAATTCTTTTATTATCAAAAATCTTAGAGGGGTGGGAGAGGTAGTACTGCAGTTACAGTGCTTGCTGTGCATGTGGCTGACCCTGGTTCGGTCTCTGGCATCCTGACACCCATCAGAAGTGATCCCTGAGTGTGGAACCAGAAGTAAACCCTGAGCACTGCACAAAAACTTCAGCTTAGCAGACTTCTTGAAATGGAGTAATTAGCACCAGAAGCCCTGTAAGTTAGAAGAGCTCATTGTTTTGAATTGGAAACAATAACTGTCCTAATAGGCTTTCATAAAGCTTTTTCTATTTGATCTTTCCCTCTCATAGGTTCTTACCCATGGTGTTCTCTAGGTACCCTGATGCCTTCTGGAATAGCTGGACTGTGGGGCTATAGAGATAGTATGGGGGGTAAGATCCTTGCCTTGCTGCATGCAGCTGACCCAGGTTTGATCCCCAGCATCACACATAGTCCCCCTAACAGTGCCAGGAGTGATCCCTGATCACAGAGCCAGGAGTAAGTCCTGAGTCCAGCTGAGTTTGGCCCCAAAACTAAAGAAACAAAGAACAGGGGCTGGAGCAATAACACAGCAGGTAGGGCGTTTGCCTTGCTTGAGACCGACCCAGGTTCGATTCCCAGCATCCCATATGGTCCCCCAAGCACCACCCGGAGTAATTCCTGAGCGCATGAGCCAGGAGTAACCCCTGTGCAATGCCGGGTATTACCCAAAAAGCAAAAAAAAAAAAAAAAAATATTTGGACCAGGATGTCTATATTCCCTGCACCAGGACAGTACGTAGTATGTGGTACACAAAAGAAGGGCAACTTAGAGTTGAGAATAAATAGATTAATGACTTGGTTCTATGTGCTTTTTTCTGTTTGACACTAAAAGATCAAATGATCCCAAGCAAGTATCTAGGCATGATTACTGTTTTACTGTAGAGCTATAAAGAGACATTTTCTATCAATTGAAAATCAGACATCTATACGTAATAACCCCAATTTTTCCATAGTTCCACAATAACAGATATTTTAGATGTGTAAACGTATAACAGATTCATTTTAAGTCAACTAATTTTATTTATTTTTTGCTTTTTTGCTTTTTGGGTCACACCCGGCATTGCACAGGGGTTACTTCTGGCTCTTCACTCAGGAATTACTCCTGGTGGTGTTCGGGGTCCATATGGGATGCTGGGAATCAACCCCGGGTTGGCTGCCCGCTGTGCTATCGCTACAGCCCCAAGTCAACTAATTTTAAATATCGGAAGTATTAGATATCTTGATTATTTTTCATTCCCTGGCTTTAAAATAACCAGTTTCAAATCTATGTGAGAGTTTGAAGATTGTTTTCCCCTTCAACTTCATCCTGAAATAATTTCATGGGCATTAATTGTATGAGTATGGTTGGATTAAAAGGTATTCAACCAGAACTCAATTCCATACTAGGTGATTTCAATTCCCATGTTAAAATTAATTGGTGTGACATATTTTCCTTCTGCCAGGTTTCTAAGAGTGAATCTTTTTTTTTTTTTTTTTTTTTTTTTTGCAGCAGAAGGATACCATGCAAGATAACCTGATAAAGCTCCAGAAGGAAATGGCCCAACTAGAAGCTGTGTTAGAGCAACATGGAAACCAACCTCGCTGTTCTTCTCCCAGAGCTGATCCTTGTGCCCCTGAGGACCTGCTCAATCCAGAACAAGACACATCAGACGAAGGTTTGTAATACTGACTAAATGTAAACTAAATTCTTCCCCTTTTTTTTAATGTATAAGTCCCGGAAAATATAAACCTAACTTTTTATTGAGATAGCATTGGTTTGCCATCTTTAACATTATGTGATATTTACTTAATTTACTGCCTCACTTGTTGTTAAATGTTTGTTTTGGGGCCACATCCAGTGGTGCTCAGGACTTAGTCTTAGAAGTGCTGGGAATCATCTGACCACAGAAGGCCATGTTCAGAACAAACACCTTACCTCTGTACTGTTCCTCTGGTCCACTTATGGGTAATTTCAGATCCTTGATTTAAGCCTTGCTCAGAAGTAGTATGCCACTGAGGGGGCACAAGATAGTCATTTAATTTTACTGAGTTACCCACAATGAAGAGTTGTCATGGAGAGCTTATAGGAAAACTGAGTGTAGTGGGGAGAGTAGGAATAGATTGCTCCAGGGGGGAGAAGGGGTTGCAGGGGGCCTCAGGTCATACCTGGCAGTGCTCAGGGATTACTCCTGGCTCTGCACTCAGAAATCTCTCCTAGCAGGGCTTTGGGAACCATATGGAATGCTGGGGTTTAAACCTGGGTTAGTCACATGGAAGGCAAGTGACCTGCTTGCTGTACTATCTTTATGGCCCTAGAGTACTTTGTTACTTATGGGCAAAAAATCTTATGGGGCTAGAAAGATCAAGCACTTACCTTACACATGCCCAACCCAGGTTCAATCCCTGACTTCCCTTATAGTACCTCGAGCAATGTCAGGAGTAATTTCTGAGTGCAGAGCCAGAAGAACCCTGAGCATTGCCGAATTTTAATGTGCTTTCTATTTTATAAGGAGAGAGATTTTGTACTTTCTAACAACTCCACCTTGATGCACAAAAATACCCAGTTATGTGGCAGTCAGGTACACTATACCTGTGTAGGCTATCAGTAATACCAAATAAGAAGGAAGTAGTTTTAGTAACAAAGCATATGGCACTGTTGCGAACTAATTTTCACTAGAAATGAGTATTGAGCCAAGGACAGAGGTTACGGCACCTGCCTTGCATGTGGCTGGGGCTGTGATAATGGTTTGAATTCCATTGCCACATTGGTCCTCTGAGCACCTCAGGAGTGGCCTCCCAAAAAAATTGAGTACTTAGCTGACGAATAGTGTTACATAAATGAAGAAAAATGAGATTAGGGGTTAAAAGTTTGGGGGCCAGAACAGCCTTACATGTGGCCAACCCAGGTTCAATCCTTGGCATACCATATAGTTCCCTGGGCCTTACCAGTAGTCAGCCCTGAGCACCACCAGGTATGGCCCAAAAAACAAAACAAAGTGAGATATGTCTTCTTGGGAGACACTGGCTTTACAAGCAAGCCTCTCCTTCCCTTTATTTTGTTTTTGAGATGACTAGATTGCATACACACCTGATTATGGTGCTTGCTGGGAATCAGGCATCTGGTTGCAGTGCTTTTTATGCATACTTGCTGGGAAGAGCACTCTTTAGTTGCATTCTGGTTGTAGTGCTTACTGGGGGTTACTTCGCACATGGTCACAGAATCACACCTATAGTTGTACTTGCACACACACCTGGATACAGTGGGCCAAAGTACTCTTAGCACTGAAGGTCCCAAACAGAATCATTGGGGCTGCTGAGTGTATCTAGGTAGAACCAGGGATCCAGTGTGAAGCCTTAAACTTGCAAGATGGGCACCTTTGCCACTGAGCAGTCCATGAGCCAGAATAATAGTATTTTTATGTTCAGGGAGAAACAGTAGCTTCTACAGGAGAGGCTAAGAATTCTGTTGCTATGGCAGTGGTTCAAAATGTATTTCCCTAAATGCTTGCTTTGTAACTGTATCTTCATTTAGTTCACTTCCCAGATAATGAAGCCCAAAGTTTCTTCTCAATACAGTTGCATTCTTTAGGGGTGCTTTCACTATAAAAACAGACTAGACTTTCATTTTTAAGGCATAAGATATAAACTGTTACTGTCTGTGAATTTGTATGTAAATTTACTCTCTTTGGGAGAATGTATGTGTTCATTTTTTCCTGAAGATGCATAGACAAAATGTTTCTTTGTGGCTTTGTTGTGGGTACCAACTTAATACAAACTCAAGACTTTTTCCCTTTTTAATTAGTGTAGTGTGGGGCTGGAGCAATAGCACAGCGGGTAGGGCGTTTGCCTTGCACGCGACAGACCCTGGTTCAATTCCCAGCATCCCATATGGTCCCTTGAGCACTGCCAGGGGTAATTCCTGAGTGCATAGCCAGGAGTAACCCCTGTGCATCGCCGGGTGTGACCCAAAAAGAAAAAAAAAAATTAGTATAGTGTTTCTAAAGTTCAAGAAAGGTTATTTTGGTGATGGGGGTGGTCTCCCAAGCAGTGTTCAGGGGATCCAGTTTCTTCTTCTCCCCCCCCCCCCCCCCCCCCGAGGAAAAAAGGATAAGGAATGCTGGGGATCGAACCCTGGTCAGCCTTGTGCAAACACCCTACCTGTTGTACTGTTGCTCTGGCCCAACTCTGTTTCTTAGCCCAGAAATAAAGGAATATTACTACTTTCAAGTATACTAATAATTTGGGGCTGGAAGCAAGCAGTGCCTGGTGGGGACTCTCCCAGTGATTCTCAACTGACTAGGCCAGCAGTTCAATGCTGGGGCTCAAGATTCAATACTGCTTTGACCATACAGTGCCAGAGATTACCCGAGCCACCCTGGAGGTGCTCTGGGACCTCTAGGGATGTACCTTCCCAAGTTTGGAGGATTATATGATCCCAGAAATCAAACCAGGTTGTCCATGTGCCAGACATGCATCTTAACCCCTGTACTCTCCAGTCTAATTTCTGTTTAAAAATAAACCTTTTAACTTGCCATCTTAAGTAAGTTTCATTTAGTAAAAACTTTTGTGTGGGGGCTGGAGCGATAGCACAGTGGGTAGGGTGTTATCCTTGCACCCGGCCAACCCAGGTTCGATTCCCAGCATCCCATATGGTCCCCTGAGCACCGCCAGGAGTAATTCCTGAGTGCAGAGCCAGGAGTAACCCCTGTGCATCGCCAGGTGTGACGCAAAAAGCAAAAAAAAAAAAAAAGCAACTTTCTGTGTAACTTTTTTAATTTAACTTTTTTATTATTTTGAAATAATTTTAGAAATAATTTCTAGAAAAGTGGTAATGATAATGCAGAATGTTACAGGAACTAATTTCAGCTTCCCCTTAGGTTTTCATCTTAGATTACTATGGCACTTTTATGAGAACTAAGATCGCAGTGTTTGTATATTAGTAGTTTTAAGTGAAATTCATTTTATTTGTATTTTACCAGTCTTTTGTTTTTATTTTGGCCCACACCCAGCAGTGCTTGGGCTTACTCCTGGCTCTGTACTCAGGCATCAGTCCTGACAGATCTGGGACCATATGAAGTTCCATGGATGAAACATACGAGGCAAGCGCACTAACCACTGTACTATCACTCCAGCCCTGAGGGGTTATTTATTAAGGATTTCTTTAGGGATTCTAAATTTGCCGGGTGGTTGCCTTATGCTTTTTATAAAGCTGAATTTCATTGTGGTTTTGATATTTATAATTTGTTATTTTATTGATAGTTTGTCATTTTTTGTTTTTGGCCACATCAGTCACTGCTGGGGGCTATTTTCTTCTTGGTACTTGGAAGTCACTCCAGCAGTGCTCAAGGGATCATCAGTGCTAAGAATCAAATCAAGGCCTCCAGCATATAATTCTTATACTCAGCCTATAATCCATCTCTCCAGCTGCCCTACTTTGTCATTTCTTTCCTTTTTTAATTTTTTTTTGTGATATGGATGGGGGGCTTTGTTTGGGGTCCACACCCAGCAATGCTCAAAGCTTACTTTCAGCCCTGCACTCAAGAATCACTTCTGGAAGTACTTCGGGATGCCCAGGGCCTCTCTCCCACACCACCAAAAAAAAGAAAAGTAGGACTGCAAGGTTACCTTATTTTCTTCATAGCTTGAGCCCCATTGAAAAGAGGAACCTAATATGCTAAATGTTCAGGTGATAGAAACACCTTAATATTTGTTTAATATTTGTTTAAGGCTTCCCTCCTTCCCTTCCCCTACTGACCCTCCCTTTTTTGGGGGGGGTCATACCCGGCAATGCACAGTAATTACTCCTGGCTCTGCACTCAGGAATTACTCCTGGCAGTGCTGGGGGATGGGATGCTGGGAATCGAACCCAGCCACATGCAAGGCAAACGCCCTACCCGCTGTGTTATCGATGCTCCAGCCGCCCCCCCGCCTTTTTGTTGTTTACTTTTGGGGGTTACACCTGGCTGTGCTCAGAGTATTCTCCTGGCTTTGTACTCAGGGACCGTTCCTGGTAGGCTCAAAGGGATCAGTGTGATAGTACAGCGGCTAGGGTACTTGCCTTGCAACTTGACTGATCCAGGTTCAGTATCTGGCGCCCTCTATGGTCCCCTGAACCCTGCCAGGAGTAATTTCTGAGTGCAGAGTTATGAATAAACCCCAAACTTCACCATGTGTGGCTCAAAAACAGTAAGAAAGGTGGGTGAGGGGATAAACCTATTTTTGGAAAATGCCAGGAAAATGGACCAACGGGCTAGAACACATGCTTCGCATGCCAGATTCCCAGTTTGATCCCCAAAGCAGTATGGTTTCTGGAGCATCAAACCAGTATCTGACCAGGAACAACCCCAACCCCCATTATTTCTGGGTGTAGCAAAACAGACATATTGTTGGTTTATAGCTTGATCCTGCTTATTCTTCAGCAGCTGGTATCTTCAGACAGTCTTCTTGTGTTCCTAGATACCATAGTTTCCAGAAAAAAAATAAGCACAAAGAATAAATAATGCATTTAAGGATTAGCTCCGGAAATCAATGATTATTTCCCCAGCCTACACAATGTCGGTTTTCAAAGTTTAATGCAGCTCTTTGTTTAAAATTTTCTACCACAGTTTATGGATTTTATCATTTTTAATAAAAGCTCAAAATAAATTATAGTCATGAGGGCTTTGGTTTTTTGGCTGCACCTGACTGTTCTTAGGGCTTACTCCTGTTTCTGTGCTCAGGGGTCATTCTTGGTGAGTTTAGGGGACCATATGTGGTGCCAGGGATCTAGCCCAGGTCAGCCATGTGCAAGGCAAACACTTTACTTGCTCTGACCCAGAATTTTTTTTTTCCAATATTTCCAAGGACCAAACCCAATTGTCTTTAACATACAAGGCAAGTACTTTATCATTAAGCCACATCCCTGACACCATCATGGACTTTTTTGGGGGGAGGGGGTGGGCTTCACACCTGGCAGTGCTTGGAGGAACCATATATGGTGCTAAGGATTCTAACCAGGTTTGTGGCCACAGCAAGGCAAGAGCTGTAACCCCTATCGTTACACCCCCACCTTCCCATCATAAACATTTTATTTGTTTTATTATTTTGTTTTTTTGACCTTGGTCCACTACCAGCTGTGCTCAGGGCTTACTCTTGCTTGACTCTATGCTCAGGGATCACTCATGATGGGCTCGGGATGGGGGGGCATATGGGATGCGGGGATTGAACCAGACTCAACCATGTGCACAGCATGAACCTTACCTGCTATACTATCTCTCTGGCCCCAGAAATTTGTATCTTTACTTTTCAGTATTTCTGTCTCTGAGCCACTTCCTAAGACAGAGGGGCATAGCATTGTATTTGAAGGAAACTCTTTTTGTTGGTTGGGTTTTTTGTTTTTTATGTCACACATGGCAATGCTCAGGGACAACTCCTGGCTCTGCACTCAATCACTCATCGGTGCTTGGTGGGGCATATGTGGTGCTGGGAATTAAACCTGGGTTGGCAGCTTACACGGCAAGCATCTTGCCCACTGTACTATCTCTCCAGCTCCTTATTTGGAAAAACTAATAGATAGGATGTGCTGGGGCTGGAGAGATAGTACAGCGGGTAGGGTCCTTGCCTTGTTTCTTTATCATTCAGGCCAACACGTATAATTATATGTGGGTTTTTTGGGCCACACCTGGCGGTGCTTGGAGGACCATATAGGATGCCAGGGATAGAATTCGGTCAGCCATGTGTAAGGCAAGCATCCTACCCACTGAACTATCTCTAAGCTTTTACCCACTTTTAATATGTTCTTTTATTCCCATTATTTTTTTATTTCCATTTGGTGCTATATCACATGTGTTAGTAAAACTCTCTCTGAAGGCTAAGGCAATTTTTCAGAGTGCTGGGGTGCATGTAGGTTTGATCCCTGGCACCATATGTTCCCCCAAACACCACCAGGAGCAACCCTTAAGCACTGCCAGTTGTAGACCAAAAACAAACCAAAAAATTGTGTCTTGATATACTCATTTAAAAACCAATTTGATTGTTACAGATTGTTGCTTTTGAAAAAAATCAATATTCTTACTTGAATTATCACCATCAGGACAAAGCAGTAAAATAGATTTTTTTTTCATTCCATTTAAAGCAGTACTAACTTCAGCAAAATGTTGTGAGTATCCTATAAGACGGAATACAGAAAGCCTTTCTACTGAAACGTTTCAAGTATCTCTGAAAAATTCCACCAGTGAAAATAACGAACCAGGAATGGAAAGGTAAAACGTAATCATGGGCTAGAGAGATAGTACAGGGCTGGTAAGGCACTTGGCTGGTGTGTAACAACCCTAGTACCATCCCCTGCAACTCATATGGTCCCTACTCCCTACTGGGGGTCACTCCTGAACACAGCCAGGATTAGTTCCTGAGCATCACCAGGTATGGCCCCCTATGCCCTCCTTCTCCACCTCCAAATAAAAAGAAAAGGAGAAAAAAATGTTGATTTAGGTATAGCTCAAAGGTAAAAGCACATATCTCACATGTGCTTCATTCCCCAAAGTGCAAGATGAAACAGTAAATGTTAAGTTGTATATCTAATGACACCTTTACTTATATTCAAGTCTTCTTTTTTTTTTGCTTTTTGGGTAACACTCAGTGAAGCTCAGGGGTTACTCCTGCCTATGTGTTCAGGAATTACTCCTGGTGGTGCTTGGGGGACCTTATGGGATGCTGGTGACTGAACCCAGGTCAGCCATGTGCAAGGGAAACGCCCTCCCTGCTGTACTATTTTATTGCTCCGGCCCTATATTCAATTTTTTTTTTTTGTGGGTCACACCCGGCGATGCTCAGGGGTTACTCCTGGTGGTGCTCGGGGGACCATATGGGATGCTGGGAATCGAACCTGGGTCGGCCATGTTGGCTGCGTGCAAAGCAAACACCCTACCTGCTGTGCTGTCGCTCCAGCCCCCCCTATATTCAATTCTTATTGTTACTTTTTTTCCTATCATACTTTCTCTATTTGTATATAGACATTTATAATCTCTCACTGCTCTTTGCTCATTGCTCTTTCATTGAATTGTGTGTAGACTTTTCGTACCCTTACCAGGCATAAACCAGTGTATGAGAAATATATGGGAGATCTCAGTCTCCCATAAAATACAGAATAGAATACAGAAATGAAGCCTAAATATAAACCTGGAGGCTGATTAATGGTACAGTTCTCCAAGGCAGCATTTGTCCTGGTTGAAGTTTTTGCCTTGCTAGGAAATTAAACAATGGATTTGCCCCAGGAAACAGATTATCATTAAGTCTCTTTCTTGGAACTGGAGACAGTACAGGGGATAACACCTTGCATTCTGCAGACCCCAATTTGAAATCCTGGCATCATAAATGGTTCCCTAAGAACTACCGGGGTCACTCCTGAGGTGCCAGGGGTATGTTGCTGAGACCAAATCTGGAGCCTCTTGCACATACCAGGCATATCCCCCTATCACCTGAACTATCTCCTTATCTTCTTCTTCCTTTTTTTTTTTAATGATTTCTGTTGTCCATACCCACTGTGCCCCCGCCCCTTTTTGGGAACACAGAAGGCAGAACTCCTTGAAGGCCATATGCAGTACTGAGGATCAAACCTGGGTCAGCTTCATGCAAAACAAGCAAGCACTTAGACCCTTGTAGTATCACTATTTTTTGTGTTTTGTTTTCTTTTGTTTTTTAAGAATGATTCTAGACATGGTGTTTCACTAATAAAAAAAAAGAAAGAGAATGATTCTAGATACTGACAAGGCAGAGAAAAGGGATGGTCATACAAATTTTGCTAAAATTAGGTAAAAAGAATAAGTGTAGAGATGTCAACATTAATCTTTTTGTTTTCTTGAGAGATCTTATTCAACACATTCATATAACTCAAGTGGAATGCCATAGAATGTGAGTGAGTAGCAGTAAATAATTTGATGAAATTTGCTGACATGCTTTTAAAAAGCTAGGAGACATACTGCCTCAGATGAGCCCCTACAGGGAGATGTTACACGTCAGCCATGACAAGTTACGAGACAGTTTGAAGCCTGGCTCCTGGGCCATCACTTGTGTTATTTTTTGTCTTCCCAATCTCTCTGACAGATGTTTCCCTTATTCTTTGACTGATCAGGAAGTCTGATCAATTCTTTCAGACTATGGTGATGGGTTTTGTTTTGTTTTGTTTTGTTTCATTTCCCTCCCTTTTTCTAGGTCTTCCCCTTTCAAATCCCAGTTATTATCTAATAGGTCATACGTGCATGGGCCCTCATGGAGCCAGAACAGAAATTGCTCATCTCAAAAGGAGCTCATTAAGATTGATGACATGAAGGAGCAACAGCTGACAAAGTCTCAGGACCAGAATTTAATGGAGCAGTCTAATTTGCCAAGACAAGATCTAGGTAATATTTCAATTGCTATCATGTAGAAAACCCTTATTTTGAATCTTACCTAAAGATACTCTGGTTAATCAGTTTTTCAGTGCACAAGCCTATCATGAATGCATTAAAAATTCTTGAATATTCATCTTGGCTTATTCAATATTATTGCAATTATTATTGTATTGACTTGTTGGGTGGAGCAATAGCATGGAGCAATAGCACAGTGGTAGGGTGTTTGCCTTGTATGCATCTGGCCCAGCTGAGCCGGGTTTGATTCCGCCACCCCTCTTGGAGAACCCAGCAAGCTACCAAGAGTATCTCACCCGCATGGCAAAGCCTGGCAAGCTCCCCGTTACGTATTTGATATGCCAAACACAGTAACAAATCTCACAATGGAGACGTTACTGAGCCCGCTCAAGCAAATCGATGAACAATGGGAGGACAGTGCTACAGAATTGGCTTGTGGTTGTTTTGGGGCCACAACGAACTGCTCTGGGCTTATTCCTGGTCCTGTGTTCAGGAGATACTTCTGGCAGTGTTCAGGGGACCATGTACTCAGAATCAAACCTGTAACTTCAAATCCTGCAAAACATGCACTTTAGACCACTGAGCTATCTCTCTGGACCCTACATCAGCCTTTATTTTCTTAAAATACCTACACATTTCTAAAACTATGATTATTAACTAAAAATTTAAACACATTAAGTTCAGGTCTGTTGCATGCAAGACAAAAGCCTTACTACTAAAATTTTAGAATTCCTGAACGTCTCATATGCTACACCATTGATGTACGAAGAAAAGGCAGAAAATAGGGATGGAGTGTAAAGTCGAAGGCAGTTTGATGGTGTGTAAAGTAGGAGGCAACTGATCTCATCTCCATCAAAAAATATATATATATGCATATATATATATATGTTAGTACACAAGGCTCAACTGTAACAACATATTAGTATTCTCTTATACAAGGGCATAATGACTGCAGGGTGAACAACAATCTTCACATGATTTCTTCTAAGGAAACTTTTGGATCATTTTTAGTGGCAATACAATAATAAGCAATACAAAAGACCTGCTCTGGGATTAGGCTTGGGTGATGGTGGTAAAATAAGAAATAATGGTGGTGGGGTTGGTGTTTGAATATTGAACGTAATAAATTATTGTGAACTTTAAAAAAATAATAAAATGTTTTAAAAAAGGAGAGAGGGAGGCATAGCGGGTAGGGCGTTTTGCCTTGCACGTGGCCGATCTGGGTTCAATCCCCAGCATCCCATATGGTTCCCCGAGTACCGCCAGGAGTGATTCCTGAGTGCAGAGCCAGGAGTAACCAATCCCTGAGCATCGCAGGGTGTGACCCAAAAAGGAAAAAAAAAAATGACAGAGAGCCTTACCATTATTTTGTCTCTCTGGCCTCATCCATTTTCCTCTCAGTCTAACATAATGTGTTTATTTTTTTTTTAATTCATGTCAGAACCTGGACTTGTAATTTAAGATTCATTGTCATGTGGATTAAACTTCTATCCCCATTCCTTTCAGAGGGAACCCCTTACCTAAAATCTGGAATCAGCCTCTTCTCTGATCACCCTGAGTCTGATCCTTCAGAATCTGGCATTCCGGTACCAGCTCGTGTTTGCGGCTTGCCAGCTTCAACTTCTGCATTGAAATTATCCCACTGTCAAGTTGCAGAATCTGCCAAGACTCTGACTGATGCTCATACTATTAATACTGCTGGGTACCACTTAAAGGAAGAAACTAAAAGTAGGAAGAACCCAGAAGTGGTATCTTCAACAAGCAGAGACAGCAAAAAAATATCTATGGTGGCTTCAGGCTTGACCCCAAAAGAATTTGTAAGTATGTCCAAATGTATCTCTCTAATGACTGGGACTTCCTTAATATATTCCAGAGAGTTTCAAATTGGCACCATCAGTGAATAGCCTGTGAAGGGAAAATGTAGAAAAGAAGCATAATTCTATACCAATAAATCTAGACAAAAGAGGACCTGCTGGCATGGCAGCAACACAAGTGGCAGCCTCAGAATATACCTGTTCCTCCAGGTTAAAAAACACCCTCCCCCCCCAAAAAAACTATATATATATATATATATATATATATATATATATATGAAACAGTTGTATACAATTTAATTCTGGAAAAGCATGATTCTATACAGCTCTATACTATCACTTCAGCCCCCATAAAACATCTTTTTCCTAGGTAAAGTAGGATGATCACTTGTTAGTAAGTTTACAACCAGTAATTTAATTTGCTCAACTGATGAGTAAATTTGCCAGCAGTGTGAATTAAATCCAAACTGTTTCCAAGAATGCTACCAGATAGTGATATTTCTTTTAGTGTGTGTCTTTATCCTGGGAGGGAGGAGGGGGGCGGGGGCTACGCCCAATAGTGCTCAGTGATTACTCCTGGCTCTGCACTTGGGAATCACTCCTGGCAGCTTCAGAGGGTCCACATGGGATGTTTGGGGTTAAGCCCAAGTTGGCATCATGCAAGGCAAGTGCCCTAGCCATTGTATTATCTCTTTGGCCCCTATCCTAGTTTCTAATACTTATTCTGTAGCCTACTATGTCAACAGCTCTCTCAAAAGGTAAGTGGAATATTTCTTTAAAACTATAATTAGAGGACCAAAGAAATAGTATATCAAGTAGGGCTCTTTGCATGTGGCTGACCTAGGTTCACTCCCCAACACCATATTTGGTACCCCAACCCCACCAGGAATAAGCCCTGAGCACAGCAGGGTGTGGCCCAAAAACAAAACAAACAACTGTAATTAGATAGCACCAGACTGTAAAATGGAATTCATACTGGGTGCCATTAATCATACTCAGAGATGATTCAGTCACTATGTCTTTCTCAGTGTACCCTTTGTAGAGTTAGAACCATTTCTCTCTCTCTCTTTTTTTTTTTCTTTTGGGTCACACCCAGCAATGCTCAGGGGTTACTCCTGGCTCTGCACTCAGGAATTACTCCTGGCAGCACTTGGGGGACCATATGGGATGCCGGGTATCAAACTTGGTCAGCCTCGTGCAAGGCAAACGCCCTACCCGCTATACTGTCACTCCAGCCCAGGACCATTTCTTATCCTAACTTTTATAGGTAGCAGCTCAACATAAGCTGGGACACCATATGTGTTTTGAGTCTTTTGGGGGGAGGGGGGATTGCAGACCAGACCTAGTAATGCTTAGGAGTTACTCTTGATTCTGTACTCAGGAACTACTCCTGGCAGTGCTCAGGGGATCATATGGGATGCTTGGGATCGAACACTGGTTGTCCTCATGTACTATCCACCTCTCCGTACTATCTCTCTGACCCCTAATGCTTAAAATGCAAAGTAAGTTGTATCTACCCTAGTAGATACAAAGAATAAATTATCACCAGTAATACTAGAATTCTCATCTCACAACCACAAGCCATACCAATTATATATATTGCTCTGAGAATCCATATTATGTATATTGCTCTTGATCATTTACCTTCATACCTAGAGTTAACATTTATTTTTGAAAAATAGTGAGTTCAGCTTTTCAAGGAAGGCCGAAATGATTTAATCTTTCTTGCCACGGGCAGTTCTGAGGTACAGATTAGACTATAAGTGGCTTGGGTCCATGTTGTCTTTAAACAAGCTAAGAAGAAAAGTTTTTAGCTCTATTCAGACTTGCTGAAGTGTGGTAAATTTATTATGAAAGCTGCTGACTGTATTGCACATGATTAATCCTGAAGCTCATATTAAGATGATCTTTTCAGCAGTTGTTCCTCTAACTGAATACAGTTTCAAGGCTGGGATTCAGCAATTAATCAGTTCAGAATTGCTAATGATCCTGGCAGAGGGCAGCAGCAAACTGGGGGGAGGATGTCATTAGCTTCTCTAGCCTTCCCTTTTCAGAGTCGTACGGCAGGGCGAAGTACGACAGCATGAAAGAGAGATGACCTGACCTCAGTTGGAATATTGTGTAGCACATAAATACTGGTGTGGGAGGCAATGGCTAGTAGTGATATGCCCTGGTAAACAGTTATTTACCAAACTGTAGCTGCTAATTATGCCAACTGTCCCTATAATAAATTTAGTTCATTTCTTTTACTGACTATTGATTTTTTTTTGGTTGATAATAGCTAGAAGACTCCAGTTTTGGGGAGAATAATGGGAGCTTTCTTCCATTCTTTTTAAGAGAAATTAGGAGTTTTTGCACTGACCTTTAGAAGAATCTTGAATGTAACTATCAGAGGGTTGAATCTTGGTTTTAAGCCACATGTTTGTAGCATAACTTTTCTACCAACTAGTTATCTCTTGGTTTATAAAGTGTATAAGATGATAAATTATAGTAGAGTGTCAGCGTACAAAGAAATAGTCTTTGGGAATCAGATGATAGGTCCTGTTGTAGGGTAAATTGATAGTATTTTTAGTCCTTGCTTATAATTTCACATCTGATAGTCTGACCTATTTCAGAATTTGATTTTCTGATATGTACATCATTTTTATTAAATTATTTATTTTCAGTCTTATTTATATTAAATCTTCAGCCATTTAATAAAAAGGATGTTGCTTTTCTAAGAAAAATCGAGACTCCTAAGCTACTATAACTAATACTCCAAGCTGCAGACTAGAGATTATTTATTAAAATGAAGTCTTTGGTTTGATTTCAGATGCTTGTGCGCAAGTTTGCCAGAAAACACCACATCTCTTTAACTAACGTAATTACTGAAGAGACTACTCATGTCATTATGAAAACAGGTATTTCAAAAACCTTTACAGAATGTGTTGCATAAAACCTCAAGGTGTTTTGTTTGTTTGTTTTGGATTTGGAGCCAGGCGCTTCTGTGCTTAGAGTACCATACAATCAACCCAGGGCTCCTGCCTGTAAAGCAAATATTTCAGCCCCTTAGGCCATTCCCCCAGGCTCCTTTTTCTTTAGCATATTATGGATAGTAATCTTCCAGTAGTAATTCAGTTTTTGTCTTATGAAAAATAAGTTTTGCCACCTTCCGACATTTTCTTTTGGGTTACCATTTGGAGAGTGGCGAGTCAGAACAATGAACTGCTTTTCTACTCCAGATTGCACTGTGAAAGGCTTTCTGGTAAGGGGAAACCCAAATTCTAGCCCAAGAAGTATGACCCAGAGGGAGAAGAGTAGAAACAAGTCTTCATTCAGCCTTGACTGACCTGTGAGGGTAGAGCTCCCCAAGGGTTTGAACTTTAAGCTGACATTAACTAAAAAATATTTACAGAGGGGCTGGAGCAATAGCACAGCGGGTAGGGCGTTTGCCTTGCACGCGGCCGACCTGAGTTCGATTCCCAGCATCCCATATGGTCCCCTGAGGACCGCCAGGAGTAATTCCTGAGTGCAGAACCAGGAATAACCCCTGTGCATTGCCAGGTGTTACCCAAAAAGCAAAAAAAAAAAAAATTTACAGAGGTATCTGATGAGGATGGGGAAAAGGTAATCAAAAAATGTCATTTGAGGGGCCATAGAGACAATACGGTGGCTAGGCGTTTCAATTGTTTTGCACGTGGCCAATCTGGTTCTATCCCTGCCACCACATACGGTCCTCAGAGCAAGCCCTGAACACCACTGTGGCCCAAACAACAAAACAAAAATGACTATATTTTCCTGTTGGTCAGGGAAATTAGGAGATTAGGGTTCCTCAAACATATAGCCTGGGAGTAAAAATTTATCACTTTAATATTTTAGATTTAGGCTTTCAGCAATACCTTTTTTTTTCCAATTTACTGCTGTCCACTAAAATAGACCTTCACTGTCCACCTGCATTAGTACTACCGAAATCGGGACTACTGAAAGTTTTTCTTATTTTAATTTGGTGCTGCACTTAGCAGTAATGGGAACTACTCCTGGCCCTGTGCTGGGGATCATTCACTGTGGTGCTCAGTGTACCATGAGGTCCCTGGGTTGAATCTGACCCTCCTTTCTGCTTTAGATTTGTGTTCCCCTTTTTTAGTGAATGGTGAGATACATAGTTACAAAGTGGTTCTTGGTTGGGTTTCAGTCATACAATGTTCCAGCTTCCAACCCTTCCCCGTTTACCTTTCCCACCCACCACCACTGTCCCTACTGTCTCTAGGTTCCTCCCTCCACCTATCCCCTCGCCTGCCTCTGGATACCACTCTTGCTCTCTCTTACACACTTGCGCGCTCTCTCACTCTCTCTCTCTCCGCCACCATCCCTCTTTCTCCTTCCCTCCCCCCCACTGTGGTTTGCAATAGAGATACTGAAAGGTTATCTATGTATCATGTCTATCACTTCCCTGCAAGCACTCAGTTCTTGTCCAGAGTGAGCATTTCCATCTGTCATTGTCATAGTGGTCCCTTCTCTGCCCTAACTACATTTTCATCCCCTGGCTTGTGGCAAGCTTCCATAGATTGTTTTGTTTGGGGGGCCACATTCAGCAATAGTCAGGGCTTACTTCTCTGATCAGGGATCACTCCTGGCAGGACTTGGGAGGGCGGGGCGGGCATATAGGTTGTCATGGGTCTAACTCAGGTTGGCCACATGCAAGTCAAACTACCTACCCCTGTATTATCTCTGACTCTGCTTAGCTTCTTATGACAGCACTTCCTCATTTTTATTTTTGACTTCTACTAATCCTTCAGATATTTTTCATTTTACAGATGCTGAATTTGTGTGTGAACGGACACTGAAATATTTTCTGGGAATTGCAGGAGGAAAATGGATAGTTAGTTATTTTTGTAAGTACAATATAATTTCCTCCTCCCTTTAACACCTCAGGATTACATTTCTACACCTAACATTTTAACAACTAGGTTTCTGTTGGTACTGAATCTGAATTACTGAAAGATCTTTCATGGTAACACTAACTAGCTTTAATCTTAAATACATATCTCTTTGTTCAGATAAGCTGCTGGTGTTATGGAAATGGATTTCTTTTTGTAATTAATAGAACCTAATCTGTTCCCAGCCACATTAGCATATAGACTAGGAGTTTTATTTAATAGGCAGAAATCCTTGTGCAAAAGTCACTTTTTTATAATGTTTGAGCATCAACTGAACTCTGGAAGGAACTCTCTGTTTTGGTAAGGAGATGTGGTTTTGGGTTTTTTGTTGTTGTTTCTTTTTGGGTCACACCCAGTGATGCTCAGGAATTACTCCTGGTGGTGCTGAGGGGACCATCTGGGATACTGGAGATTGAATCCTGGTTGGCCACGTGCAAGGCAAATGCCTTCTTGCTATATTATCGCTCTGGCCCCAGAGGGGTGCCTGGGATTGAATCTGGTCAGCCACAGGCAAGGCAAGTGCCCTAACTGCTATGCTATATCCAGTCCCTACTTCTGTTTTCTTGGGGGGGGGGGGGGGGCAGGGTGTTTGGACTTGACCCAGCAGTGCTCAGGGTTTATTCCTGGCTTTGTGCTCAAGGATCACTCCTGGAAGGGCTTGGAGGACCATATAGGGTCTTGGGGATCAAACGTGGGTTGGTTGTATACAAGGCAAATGCCCTGCCAGCTGTTTTTTAAGTATAAAATACTAGAGATCAAGCACTGGTCAGTTACATGCAAGAGAAGCCCATAGGGTCCCCCTACCCTGCCAGGAATAAGCCCTGAGCATTGCAGATTGTAACACCCACCACCAGCAACCACCACCAACAACAGCAAAAGCATATTTGGGCTGAAGAGTTAGTTCAGGCACTTGCCTTACATGCAGCCAACCCTGCTTTGATTCCCAGCACCACGTGAGCTCTCACTCATGGCCAGGTCTGGCCCAGAAAGAAATAAGCATGTTCTGAGTCCAAGTTGATAATTCAGTAATAGCACTGCATGTACCCACCACTAGAACAGGGAGTGCTCTCTGTTTTAAATAAAAGAAGCATGTTTTCTACTCCGTGTGACCTCTTTTCTCTGATCTCTATAGGGGTGACAAAGTCTATTAAAGAAAGAAAGATACTGGATGAGGTAGGTACTTGGTGCCAATGTCACATATTCAGTTTCACTGCTTCCTTTCTTACACCACTTATACCACTTTCTGTAGGTTTTCCATCAAGAGCTATACAGATCAAATCAGGAAATTTTGTTTTTACTCTTTTGTTCTAAGTTTCTCTTGGAATAATCCTTTGGTCAGAGGACGGAACAGGATTTTATACCTCAGGGAGAAAAATAAAGATTCATAAACATAAGAAACAGACTCACTTCTTACATATGTGTGTACACCTTTATTGAAAACTGATCATTCACTCCTGAAGAAAAACCTTCATATTAGTATGCAAATGTACTGTTTAGAAATCAGATTCCCTCAAAGAGATGCTACTCTTTATGTTACTGAGAATAGTGAGAGGTAAATAAGATAGCGTGTAGGAGGAGGAATAATTTTAGAACAGAGCCATCTAAGAGCTGCTGGTAACGAATAGATCAAGCAAAATAAAATTAGTGAAAGCAGTTTTAAACTATTAAGCAGTATTTAGCATATTCATAATTAAATGACATTTTTGTTGGTTCAACGTACATTCAGTGACTAATATTATTGGGAGCCTACTATGTGCTTGGCACCAGGAATATAAGAGTAAACAGGATGGGTGCCTCCTTTAATGGATTCATAATCTTCTAAGGGGAGATAGACTATAAAGATACTCTTCTTTTTCCTTTTAATAAGTCTCTTTTTTAATTTTTTTATTGACTATCTGTGAAATAGACCATTACAAAGCTGTTTATGTCTGATTGGATTTCAGTCCTACAGTGATCCAGCACCATCCCCCCACCAGAGTACATTTCCCACCAATATCCTGTTTCCCTCCCACCATCCCCCTGCCCCTCCGCCCCTCCCCCCCCACACACACACCCCAGGCTGCCTCTACAGCAGGTACTTTTTTTCTTTCTATCGTTCTGTGCATTTTTAGTTTGCAATACAGGTACTAAGAGGTCAGGTATGGACATGACTACCAAGGCTTCCAGAAGTACAAGGAGGTGGAGGGGAGGTTGTCCATCTCAACCCCCAGAAAGCATAGAAATTTCAGTCACAACCCATATACACGAATTTTCAACAGATTATATCTCAGTAAGGTTTATCCTGAGACGGTGGAGTTCGACTGGGGCCATTGCAGCAATTTTCGATTGTGGAAGCAAGTGGCTGCTGGGTCTCTGCCTCAGCAGACACCAGGCTGACCCTGCCCCTCTCTGATTTACCCTGGGTCTGTTCAGCCTTGCAAAGGTCTGAGATTAACTGCAGCTTTTGGTCTCAGCTTGTATCGCTGAGCCAAAGGTGGTTTGTGGGCATGACTCTCACATACCTAAGTTTTGGCCATTTAATTTCTCAGGAAACTTAGTCCCAAGTTGTTGGGGTTGGGCCAGAGGCACGGGTTTTTTTTTTCTAATGTTATTTACATAGTTATGTGATTACAAAATTACAGCAGCAATTTTGGGGTATCGGGAAGCCTGAAGGTACCATCAGGCTGCTGATGCACTTGCCCCACAGGTACAGTTGACTTGCTCAGGGGGCACCATACCCCCATCTTTTATCTCTTGAAGTAATGTTTTATAGTTTTCTTTGTACAGGTCCTTCACCTCTTTAGTTAAGCTGATTCTAAAGTGTCGAAATTTTTGAGGCACAATTGTGAATGGGATATCTCTTTCATTATTTGTATATAAGAAAGCCATGGACTTTTGGGTATTGATTTTGTAATCGACCATTTTTCTATACAAACCTATTGTTTCTAGAAGCTTTTTTGTAGACTCTAGTATTTTCTAAGTATAGTATCGTATCATCTGCAAATAGTGAAAGCTTAACTTCTTCCTTTTCTATCTGGATGCTCTTAATATCTTTTTCTTGCCTAACTGCTAAGGCAGGTATTTCCAGTGCTATATTGAATAGAAGTGGCGAGGGGGCAACCTTGCTGATCTTAGAAGCCTTTCGGTGTTTACCCATTGAGGGTAATGTTTGCTGTGGGCACCATATGATATGTACCCCAAAAATAGGTACCCCTACATACTCTAAGATTATTTAGAATAGAATATCATACTAGTTATTGACAAGAGACAGAAATTTATTACTTTAATTAAGGAGACCAATAAAGACTATTTGGTTGTGTTTTGCTTTGCTTTGGGGGCACTGCATCTGGTTGTGTGTAGGGCTTGCTCCTGGCTCTGTGCTCAGGGATCACTCCTGATGGCACCAGGGGACTATAATGGGTGCTAAGGAGCAAACCAACAATGACCACATGCAAAGCAAGTGCCTTACTTGCTGTACTGTCTCTCCAGCCCAATCAGTTTTTTCTAAGCACTCTTCCTTAATTTCCCCAATATCAATTCCATTGCTCCTTATTTCCTCATTCTGAATTTGTCAAAATTATGATTATGAAAAAATCTCTTTCTTGGGGCTGGAGATATAGTACAGTAGGTTGGGCACTTGCCCTACGTGCAGTCAGTTCATGTTTGATCCCCTGTACTCCATGTGGTCCCTCAAGCTCCTCCAGGAATAAGCTCTGAGCACTGAGCTAGAAGTAAGCCCTGAGTACAACCAGTGTGGCCCAAAAAAGAAACTCTGTCTTGGGGCCGGAGAGAGAGTACAGTGGGTAGGACTCCTGTCTTACATGGTAACCACCCACGTTTGATCAATCCCTGGCATCCCAGATGGTTTCTCAAGCCCACCAGGAGTGATTCCTGAACGCAGAGCAGGAGTTACCCCTGAGCACCACCAGGTGTATCCCCAAAATAAAAACCCTTCATTGTATGTATTTTTATGTATATTTTATTTTATTAACTGTAAATCTTTTGGTTGAAATCTGGGAAGCATTAATTTCTTCAGATAGTAATGTGCAATTCAAGGATCAGGAATTCTCCAGTTTTCTTTATAACAGCACAGTATTAGCCATTTAATCTAGATGCTAAGTGAACATTTTGAGAGGAGATAGATGTTGAAAATTAAAATAAATTAAGTCCCAGTGAGGTGAAAAGTCAATTGTTCATTTCTGCCCACAGATTTGCTTCAGTGAATTTATTTCAGCAGCTGAGCTGCTAATCATTTCATTCAATCCACCAAAAAGAATTGTTTGGGGTTGGGGGAGGTTCAAAGCTCTCCCTGGCGAGCTCTCTGCTTTGCCGGAGGCTTCTCTTTGTCTGACCCCTGCTGTTTGTATTTGGTTTCCTTCAGCATGATTTTGAAGTCAAAGGAGATGTTGTTAATGGAAGAAACCACCAAGGCCCAAAGAGAGCAAGAGAATCCCAAGACAGAAAGGTAAAGGCCTCCTCCTCCTCGTGTAAGTTCTTTACTAGTTCTCCCAGTCTAACCAGGTAAGTATTACTCCATTTTAAAGATGAAGGAACTCTGAGATTTAGAGAAACTGCTATTTTATCAAGATTCAACTCTCAGCTGATAAATTACAGAACTAGAGTTTGAAACCTTGTGAATATAGTCTGTGCTCTTTATACTCCACTGTGGTGTCTTTCTTAAGGCATTGTGGTAGGGGATTCGGGGGATGGAACACAGGTTGACCACATGCAAGGCAAGCACTTGACCCACTATTGCTTGAGCGGAGTTAGGCACTTGCCCCGTAAGGGTCCCTTAAGAACCACCAGGGGTGACCACATTATATTATATACAAATATGGAATCATTGTACTATGCACCTAAAACTATTGTAATGTTATATTCAGAAATATGTAAATAATAATCATAATGAAAGCCTTTCCTCTGACACACCCCTGAAGACCAAGAAAGGCCTAGATGGGTAAGCCACTTAAACTCTGTTTCTTTCTGCACTTCCACCCCCGTTCTGGGAACATGGGCTGATTGTAAACCAAGCCAAGCTCAAGCTCAATTGATTAAATGATCAGGGGAAGTCAAAAAAAAAAAAAAAAAGGAACCACCAGGAGTGATTCCTGAGAGCAGAGCCACAAGTAACTTTTTTTTTTTAATTTTTATTAGTGAAACACCATGAGGTACAGTTGTAGACTTACAAATTTTTGTGTGCTTGGATTTCAGTTATACAATAATCGAATACTCATCCCTCCACCAGTGCCCATTCTCCACCACCAATGATCCCAGTATCCCTCCCACCCTCCATGTCCCACATCCCACCCTGCCTCTGTGATAGGGCATTCCTTTTTGTTCTCTCTCTCCTTTTGGGTGCTGTGATTTGCAAAAGAAGCATTGAGTGGCAATCATGTTCGGTCTGTAGTCTACTCTCAGCATGCATCTCCCATCCTGGGAGGAGCCTCCCAACACCCTTTATTTGGTGCTCCCTTCTCTGTCTGAGCTGCCTTTTCCCCTAGCGTGTGCAGCTGGCCTCCAAGCCATGGAGTAAACCTGGTACTTATCTCAGCTATTTTTGGGTGTTAGTCTCCTATTTTGTTACTTTATGTTTTCCAGATGAATGCAATCTTTCTGTGTCTGTCTCTCTCCGACTCATTTTACTTAGCATGATACTTTCCATGTAGTACCACTTGTATGTAAATTTCATGACTTCATCTTTTCTAACAGCCACATAGTACTCCATTGTGTAGATATACCAAATTTTCTTTAACCAGTCATCTGTGCCACAAGTAACTCTTGAGCATCATAAAGTGTGGCCCCCCCAAAAAAAAAATAAATAAAAGTAATAAGTTTACTGCCTCAATTACTGCAAGCACATTTCAGTTGCTCAGTAACTACTTGTGTCTCCAGTCAACTTTACTAATGCAAATACAAAACATTTCCATCATTTTTAACAGTGCTGTCAAGCACTGTAAGAAAAGGCTCCTCGGAGGCTCAGAGTGATCTGTCTCTCCTGGAAATCAGACAGTAAGATCCAGAGTCAGGTTTCACTTCTAGATCAAAAACAATAGAAGCCAAAGAGATAACTAAATGGATTGAACACATCCTTTGCGTGCTGGAGGCCCAGATATGATCCCCAGCAGTACATGGTCCCCTGAGCACTACCAGGTATGGCCCAAAATAAATAAAAATACTACTTCAATTACCTGAAAGAACATGATCATTTGCAGAACAATGTGAAGGTAGGAACAGGTATTTGGGGACTAAGAGGAAGAAGAAGAAAAAAATGGAACATCTGTGTGCCTGTGTGTTGTATAAACATAGACCTCTGCCAGTTACTGTCATTATTTTTTTGCTTTTTTGTTTGTTTTTAAATAATGTAGGAGTACTGCTATTTGTTCAGCCATTGATTAAGCTGTTTGAATTGGGCATGAATTCCACATTACTTTTTTATTTTATTGTATCACCGTGAGATAGTTACAAAGCTTTCATGTTTGAGATTCAGCCATACAGTGATGGAACATCCATCCCTCCACCAGTGCACATTTTCCACCACCATTGTCCCAAGTATCACACACACACACACACACACACACACACACACACATCGCAGGCCTCATTCTGCTTCTATGGCAGACAATTTCCCCAATACTCTCTAATTTGGGGCATTAATTTTGCTCGAATTTTCCACCACCATTCAAGCCTTTCTGCCAGGGGCAGACTCTAGATCTCATTTCAAATATCACGAGAGCTCACGTGGCCACAATTGTAAATGTAAATTTCTAGATTGTAAATGGTTGGGTTCCAGAGACATTTCTGTATGGCACTAATCCATTTTGGGATTCAATTGAGAGTCTCTGGACCAGGGCTGTTGGTGTGCTAAGATGGCGTCCAGAGGCAAATTGTGGGCTTGACTGCCAGTCTTCTGTGCGGGTGGGGACCCAGGGAAGGTCAGCCTGGGTCCTCTGCCACCATGCGGCCTGGAGATTTAGTCCTGAACCCACCTACCTGAACCTTGCTTGTGAAAGCTCTTGGTCACCGGGATTCCATCTGAAGTAGATGGGGAGACTGCACCTGCTCCATCTGGGGTGCCCCGGTGGCCGGGAAAGATATCTGGCGCTGTGGTGTCTTCTGGGATTTGCTGCTGTGTCTCTGGACCAGGGCTGTTGGTGCACCAAGATGGCGCCTGGAAGCAAATTGTGGGTGTGACTGGGACTTGCCTCTCTGTCTCTGAGCCAGGGCTGCTGGTGCGCTAAGATCCACATTACAAAATTTTCAGCAGATTATATCTTGGTGAGGTCCATCTTGAGATGGTGGAGTCAGGCTTGGGGTATGGTGGCAATTTTAGATTGTGGAAGCTAGTGGCCACCGGGGACTCTGCTTGGGCAGGCACAGGCCATCCGCCCTCTCCAATTTACTCTGGTTCAGCCATGTATGGGTCCAAGCTTAACTGTGGGTTTTTTTTTTCCCCATTAAATTAAGTGAAACACCATGAGGTACAGTTGTACACTTACAAATTTTTGTGCTTGGGTTTCAGTTATACAATGATCGCGTACCCATCCCTCCACCAGTGCCCACCACAGATCCCAGTATCCCTCCTACCTCCCATCCCCCTCATCCCACCGTACCTCTGTGGCAGGGCATTCCCTTTTGTTATCTCTCTCCCTTTGAGTGCCATGGTTTGCAAAAAAGGCATTGAGCGGCAATCATGTTCGGTCCATATTCTACTCTCATCACGCATCTCCCATCCTGAGAGGAACCTCCCAACATCCTCTATTTGGAAGGCAGCTATGCTCACCACTATACCACCAACGCTGCCAACAACACCCTCTATTTGATCCTCCATTCTCTATCTGAGCTGAACTGTGGCTTTTGATCTCTTTTTGTTTGTTTGTTTATTTGTTTTGCTTTTTGGGCCAGGTCACACCTGGTGATGCTCAGGGGTTACTCCTGGCTCTGCACTCAGCAATTACTTCTGGCAGTGCTCAGGGGACCATATGGGATGCTGGGATTCGAACCCGGGTTGACTGCATGTAAGGCAAACACCCTACCCGCTGTGCTATCGCTCTAGCCCCCGGCTTTTGATCTCTTTTGAGTTTTAGGGGTCTCTGAGGCAAAGCCAGTAAGTAGAGCTTACAGGGTGGCGCTGGAGTTGTTTTGTGGGGGTGACTGCCAGTGCATCCAGTGTTTTGGGAAGTGGGGGGGGGTGAGCTGTGTAGCAGAGCTGGAGGTGGTTTGTGGGTGTGGTTCCCACATACCTAATTTTTGGCCGTTTAATTTCTTGGTAAATGTGGCCCCAAGTTGTTGGGTCTGGCCAAAGGTACAGCGGCAATTTTGGGGCATCAGGAAGCCTGAAGGCAACATCAGGCTGCTGATACACTCACCCTGCAGGTACAGGTTGACCTGTTGGTGGCACCATACCCCCCAGTTAAACAGCTAATATATTAAATTCCTTGTCATCAAGGCCTTTTATTAAACAAACAAAAAAAAATTAAAGGACCAATATTTTTCTTCTCTCTAATAAGTGAAGACACCTCCAAAAAGGTTATCACAGAGTAGCCTGGGCCTGATCATTGTCTAGATGGTATAATCAGCTCTTGAATGACAAGATATGAGTATAGAGCAGGTTGTCCACATAAACACATTGTAGGTCTTCTATGCCACAGACATAGCTCAGTTGTAGAGAACATGTCTTTTTATAAATTTTTTAAAAAGGTTTTTTTTTTTTTAAATTGAATCACAGTGAGATACTCAGTTACAAAGTTGTTCATGATTGGGTTTCAGTCATATAATGTTCTAAGACCCGTCCCTTGACCAGCATACATTTCCCACCACCATGACCCCAGTTCCCAGTTTTCTCCTGTCATACCCCACCCCAGCTTGCCTCTATTGGGGGAGGTGGTGATTTTTCAAAAGTCTGCTATTGTTCTGGATATAGGGCTGTCTCTGTAAAGTAGAAGTAGGATGTGATCACTTCTAGGAATTATCAGAAGGTAAAGAAAAGAATGTACCAGAGAAAATAGCTCAAAGGATTGGTGTTTATACTTTTTTATCTTTTTGTTTCTGTGTTTTGTACATGGGCCAAAACCCAGCAGTGCTCAGGACTTACTCCTGACTGCACTCAGAAATCACTCCTGGTGGGACCCAGGGAACCACTAGTGATCAAACTCTGGTGCCAGAGGCAAGGCAAGTACCCACTGTACTATCTCTCAACCCCTGGAGTTTATGCTTTCATGTGGACAGTATTTGCTTTAATCCCCAGCATTGCACGGCCACCTAAACATCACTGGGAGCATCTCTGGGTACAGCATCATGTGGCCAAAAAAAAGGGGGTGAAAAAGGAAAATTTTTCATACTTAAGAGTCTCTCTGTATTGTCTTTGGTAAAATACCATACTATTTTATAAATAGTATTTTTTTATTTCCATTCTTTCTCTTTTCTCCCAGATCTTCAGAGACTTAGAAATTTGTTGCTATGGACCCTTTACCAACATGCCCACAGGTAAGAAACTAGAATTATACTGTCCAACACTAATCACTCTATTATGTTGTGCTGTATTAGATATAATACCCCATAAGAGGCATTACTTACGAGGTTTATCAGATTGGTGAGGTATTTTATAGACTGTTTCTTCATCACCCATCAGACAAAACTAGCTGCATGTTACCCTATGGCAGAAACCACCTGCACCCCTTCTCAAAGCAAGAAGAGTAGAGTTAGGGCTGAAGCAGTAGTATAGCAGGGGAGCACTTGCCTTGCTCGTGCACGTGGCCAACACAGGTTCAGTCCCCAGCACTTCATGTGGTCCCCCAAGCTCACCAGGGGCATTCCTTGATTGCAGAGCCAGGAGTAAACCCTGAGCACCACCAGGTGTGATCCCAAAAAAAAAAGAGAGAGAGAATTTAAGAACTAGTTTTTCTGTGTTCAGAGGGGATGAAGATGCTCTCTCTGCATTCATTGTAAGAAAGAAGGGATGTAATAAAGTTGGGTGAAGAGACATTTTGGATTTATAAACATCAGGAAAGAGCTTTCCTTTTTCTAAATACCCAAGGGCATGGTGCTCCACATTGGCCCAGAGCAGGGGAAGACCTTTGATGAAGATTTTGTAATTAAATTTGAGTTTGAATGTAATAATATGTTTAGGAGTACTTTGATAGTTAACACTGGAGTTGTGTGGCTCTGAGGATATGATGGGTACATAGATGTGGTTTGTTCTTTTCAAAAGGAAGGTGATCTACCTTTGCCTCCTGTGACCAGACTGACCCACAGGGATACTAGTCTTCTTACTCATCAGAAGACAACCTTGGCAAGGTCAGGGACAGAGGAATGACAACAACATAACCTGGCAAACTAATTTTGCTTCTGTCTTCCTTATTGGCAATTGTCTGGATTTTTATGAGGTTTTCACCTGTCACTCCAGGATTTCTCAAAGTTTTTTTGGCGTGTTAGAAAACAAGGTCTTGGAGCCGGAGGGTAGTAATGTGAATGGGGCACTTGTCTTGCATGCAGCCAACCCAGGTTCTATCCCTGGCATCCTGTATGATCCTTTGAGCACTGCCAGGAGTAATTCCTGAATGCAGAGCCAGGAGTAACCCCTGAGCATTGTCAGATACGACTCTAAAAAACAAAAAGAAAAAAAAGAAAAGAAGATCTCTAAGTAGGAATCTTCTTTTTTTTCTTTTTGGGTCACACTCGGTGATGCCCAGGGGTTACTCCTGGCTTTGCACTCAGGAATTACTCCTGGTGGTGCTCAGAGGACCATATGGGATGCTGGGAATCGAACCTGGGTCAGCCTCATGCAAGGCAAATGCCCTACCCGCTGTACTATCACTCCAGCCCCAGTAGGAATCATTTTGGAGGTGAGTTAGTTGACCTCAGTTCAGTCAAAGAGGAACACCTCAGCATTGCCCAGAAATGACTGATAGTTTTGAGAGCCACAATGGGGCAAAAACTACCTGCTGCTCTGTGCTGTTGTTTTTGCCAGGTTCGATAGAACACCTCTGTCCTTTCTTCTGATTCTGCTCCCTCAGGTGTGTTGATTTCAGCGCAGCAAATTATATTTCCCCACAGTTGTTCTGAGTCTGTCCAGAAAGATAGATATACTTTTTGACTAAATGAATTATCTTCCTGTCTCTTGACATTTACAGTAAGGGTGACTGTGATTATCAATTACCAACAAAGAGGTATGGAGGGAAGACAGGTGGGTGTGTTTTTCACAGTATCTTAGCCAGCAGTTTAGCAAAGTAATTGTTATTAGGTCTTGGATAATTTTTCCTTTCAAAAAAAGGGAAGAGTTTTATTTGTGAGACTGTCAATCATTCTTTTTCCTTTTGATTTGGGCTTTTAGAGCCACACCAGTGGTGCTCAGGGACTCTGCTCTTACAAGGAAAAGTTAGTATATCAGAAGCAAGTTGGCATTGAATCCGTGCCCCCGATATTGATTTTTATTAGTTTTGGGGGGAGGAGGCCACCTCACAGGGTGCTTGAGGGCTTCCTGTTAGTTCCATGCTTGAGGTTGCACCCAAAGGTGTTGGGGACCATACAGTGTCAAGGTTCGAACCTGGAGCCCCACGCACGAAGCATGCCCTCCACCCCTTCAAGCCGTCTCTCCATGGCCTCCATTTTCCTTTAAGACCTTTCTCTCCCTTTGTAGCAGAAAGACTTTTCCCACTGACAAGTCTTACTGCCTTGCTATAAGCCTTCATCCAGAAAAGTAGAGGGTAGAGGGCTCAGGTTAAGTGTGCAGATTAATGTGATTATTTTAGATCTAAATGTCCTATTTAGATCAACTGGAGTGGATGTTGCGCCTCTGTGGGGCTTCTGTGGTAAAAGAGCTTTCATCATTTACCCGTAGCAAGGTAAGTGTTGGTGACCTTTCGTGGGGTGGGGGTGGGAGTGGGGGGGTGTCACGGCAGTCTACCCTGCAGTTGAGCAAGGCTAGCACATATCGGTCTGAATCCCCCTGTTTAACCTCAGAGGTTTCTTTTCTCCTCTTCCTTCTCTGACCACCGCCCTGTGCCAGAAGACCCCATCTTCAAGGGATAAGCAAGGATTTGGGAAATACAAGTTCTTCTTATCCTGAGGGAAGGAGTTTTTTTTCCCTCTCACCCTTCCTTATTGCCATGTGCCCTTCCATCTCCTTTCTGTGGCTGCCCCTAGAGTAGCTGGCTTCAGCAGACCTGTAAGAAATGATGAACTGGGGCAAGAGTGATAGCACAGCGGGTAGGGCGTTTGCCTTACACACGGCAAACCTGGGTTCGATTCCCAGCATCCCATATGGTCCCCTGAGCACCGCCAGGAGTAATTCCTGAGTGCAGGGCCAGGAGTAGACCTTGTGCATCGCCGGGTGTGACCCAAAAAGAAAAGAAAAAAAAGATGAACTGACTGTCCTAGAAATGCTGCTCTGTTTTCTTAAATGCTGTTTTCTTCCTGGGAATGCAGGGTAGGCACCCAGTTGTGGTTGTACAACCAGATGCCTGGACAGAGGACAGTGGCTTCCATGGTAAGATACTTGCGTGTGTCTCTGTCACTGCAGTTGACCTATTGTTTAAGGTCTTAGCACATTCTGGATGCTTAATAATTGTTTGTTGAAGGTCAGTGATAGTATAGCAGGTTAGGCATTTGCCTTGCATTCAGCCAACACAAGTTCTATCCCTGGCACCCCGTATGGTTCCCCAAACTTGTCAGGAGTGATCCTTGAGCACTGATTCAGGAGTAAGCTCTGAGCACTGCCAAATATGCCCTCCTCAAAAAAAGAAAGAAAATATTTGTTGAATGAATAATTGAATGGATGAACTGTTCTTTTTAAAACTTGGTATTCATTTTATATATGTAAGAGCAATGCTTGAACTGTTTTCACTGAGTGGGGATTAAACATGAATTTTCAGCCCTAGTAACTTTTCCTTTAACAAATTAGAATTTCATATTAAGAAACTAAGCTTTCACCAGTAGGCACTTCTCAGGCTTTTGAGTAAGGTTCTGTTTCTTAAAGCATTGCTCAACAACTTCGCTCCTACTTTATTAGCCTAAAGAATTCATACAGGGGGGAGAGATAGTACAGCATGTAAGGCATTTGCCTTGCATGCAGCCAACCCAAGTTTGATCCCCAGCATCCCATATGGTCCCCCAAGCACTGCCAGGAGTAACTCCTGAACATTGCTGGATATGGCCCCAACCCCCCCCTTCCCTCTCTGCCTTGCAAAAACAAAAAATAACTCATTCAGCCAAAGGCAAGAGTGTTAGTTCTGTGGGTAGAGTACTAGTCTTACATGTGGCAGATCTGGGATCCCCTGTATCCCTTATGGTCACCTGAGCTCCACCGGGAGTGATCCCTGAACATCTTTGAGTGTGGCCTCAAACAAACCTCATACAACCAGGGGCCAGAGAGATAGCATAGTGGGTAGGGTATTTGCCTTGTAGGTGGCCTACCTGGGTTTGATCCCTGGAACCCCAGATGGTATCCCAGGAGCCTGCCAGGAGTGATCCCTGAGCACAGCCAGATATCATCCCCCCAAAAAATAAGAAAAGAAAAACAGCTCAAGCAACCAGATCCCTGTAATATATTGATTAGCATTTGGTCTGAGAATATAGACTGACACTAACTGCTTGTGTTCTCTATCTCCAGCAATTGGGCAGCTTTGTGAGGCACCTGTGGTGATCCGGGAATGGGTATTGGACAGCGTAGTCCTCTGCCAACGCCAAAAATTGGACAACTACCTGGTACCTCAGATCCCCTAGAATTGCTGCTGATTTCGAGCCAACCGTGTGGTTAGGACCTATTTCCAGAGGACTCAAAAAATGAGCTTAAAAATTGGGGCCCATGGCCAGAGAAATAGTATAGCAGGCAGGGTGCTTGCTTTACACACGGCCAACTCAGGTTCAATCCCCTGCCTCTCATGTGGTCCCTGAGTACCACCAGGAATGACCTCTGAGTGCAAAGTCAGATGTAAGCCCTGAGCACGCCATCGGGTCTGGCCCAAAAACAAGAGAAATAAAAATGGGGCCAAGGGGCTGGAAAAATAATACAAGGATTAAGCCACTTGTATTGCACATAGCTCACCCAGGTTCGGTCCATATGTTCCGTGGAGCACTGCCCACAGTTATCCCTGAGCACAGAGCCCTGAACCTTGCCAGGTATGGCCCAGAAGCAAAAAGATGAAAAATAAAAGTAGAGATAAGGAGATGACTGAAAGAGCTGGAGTGCATGCATGCTTTGTTCGCATGCAGGTTTGTGTTCTGTCCCAAAACCACGTGATCCCCAGAGCACTGCCCCGTGTGACCCTCAAAACAAAAGGAAGAAAAGAAACCACCTATTTCCAGACTCTGAATGCTCCTCTCCAGTCCTTCCACAGTCTCAAGTTACTAAATATTTTATGTAAAGCAGCCTGAAAAGAACTTCCAGCTATGCAAGGGTCCCTTAAATATATTTTGCTCAAGTCTCTGTTCAAAATCTCCATGAGCACACAAAATTGTGGTAATTTTTCACCTGAAAGGATTTTAAAACCGTTTAAATCCACCGATTGAGTGAGATGCTGATTCATTATTTATCAGACCTATTCCTTGTGCCAGGGCTGGAGGCTGAGCTCGAGTCACAGCGGGCCTGGTCTTAGGAGAACAGCTGTGCTTCCTGAGCTTGTTTCTCTCAAACCTGTGTTCGTAGAGGCCAAGGGTGAGACCCTTCAGTGGAAGGCAAGTACTTGGGGATCTGGGACATGACTTAAAATCAGAACAGTGCTTGGGTAGCTTAGATGTTGGAGTGGAATATTGGAGAGGGAATTCAGAGGTTGCTATTAAATATAAATAAGAAACTTAGTGTTAATTAGAGAAGAGGAAGGCATGCTGACCTCTTCAAAGTCTCGGCTATAATTGCTGGATTTCAAAAAATTTTCTTATGGGACCAAAGCAATAGTACAACAGGTAAGGCTCTCGCATTGCACAAGGCTGACCCAGGTTTAATCCCCGGCATCCCACTTGGTCCCCTGTGCACCTCCAGGAATAATTCCTGAGTACAGAACCAGGAGTAACCCCTGAACACCACTAGGAGTGGCAAAAAAGGGAAAGAAAAATAACTTGACCAGAGAGACAGCACAGGGGTTGTCTCTTGCTTTGCATGTCACCAGCTGAGTAGTGCCCAACTCCTGTGCGCCACTGGGTATGGCCCAACTACCCACCCTCTACAAATGGAATTTCTTAGTTCTAATGTGCTCTGAATATTTAAGAACTGATGTGAAAAGAGAATATTCTAATTCTAACAGTAGAAATAAATGTTTATTCTTGCACTCTGATATGTAACCCATTCCTCTTGAAATACAAGATCTGATATAAATATTTCATATCTGTAAAATGACGGATCCCACCAGGAAAGGAGCTGTTGCTTTCCTTAAGGTAATTTTTTTTCCTCCTTTCCTTCCTATTGCTGATCTGTACACTTCATAAATAATTTTGTTTGCTGAAAGAAAAAGTGTTTTCATAGACTCATTATCCAGGCCTGTTTATAGCTGTTAGGAGGACCAAGTAGTCTTCCTTAGCCCCCCTGTGTGTGAGGGCAGACTTGATTGTACAAAGTATATTTTGTAAATGTTGTGCTGCTCACTTGCAAATAAAATTGGTGGCAAACACTTGGCCAAGTATGACTTCTTGAAGCTTATGCCTGCAGACTTTCTTAGACCTTTTCCATTGTACTTATGTCTCATCTGTAAATTAAGGGTATTGACCCACCTTGGGTTATTGAGGAAACTTCAGTATCTGTTACTACCCATAACAAAGTGTCACAAATCTAGAAGCTTGAAACAGCATGTATCTATGGGCTCAGGAGTGACAGTAAGGACTAGTGCACATGCTTTTCATACTGGAGCCCCAGAAATGATCCCTGAATACTGCACCTGGGGTCCCTATGTACTGCATATTGACTACCCTATTTCCATCTTCAAAACCAGCAAATAGCTGATTATGGCTCACATTCAGAGAAATCTCTGTCCTTAAGAGCTCAAGTGGGAGCTGGAGCCATAGTACGTACAGCGGGTAGGGCGTTTGCCTTGCATGCAGCTGACCCGGGTTCGATTCCCAGCATCCCATATGGTCCCCTGAGTACCGCCAGTAGTAATTCCTGAGTGCAGGAGCCAGGAGTAACCCCTGGGCATCACTGGGTGCGACCCCCCCCCCCCAAAAAAAAAAAGGACTCAAATGATTAGTTTATACCTATAGGTAATCCACAGTGAGCTCCTGGTTTTTTTTTTTTTCCTTTTTGGATCACACCCAGCAATGCTCAGGGGTTAGTCCTGGCTCTGCACTCAGAAATTACTCTTGGCGGTACATGGGGGGTCATATGGGATGCCAGGGACCAAACCCGGGTGGGGCACATGCAAGGCAAATGCCCAACTTGATCTCCTGATTTTAAGGTCAATAATCTTGATTACAGCCCCAATGTCCCCATCACAGTAACTAGATTTGTGTTTAAATAGCCAGGGGACATGTCTTTAGAATTCAGATCATCACTACTATATAACACGCCTGATCCACAGTCTATATCATAATTTCTTGAACTTCACGTTATTCAGAGATAAGAATCCCTTTTGAGACAGAATGAAATCCTCACATTTTTTCAGTACTGCCATCTTTGTCAAAAAGTGAATGAGTGGGGCTGGAGCAATAGCACAGCAGGTAGGGCGTTTGCCTTGCACACGACTGACTCGGGTTCAATTCCCAGCATCCCATATGGTCCCCAGAGCACTGCTAGGAGTAATGCCTGAGTGCATGAGCCAGGAGTATCCCTGTGCATCACCAGATGTAACCCAAAAAGGGGGGGGGAGAAAAGTGAATGAGTGAAGGAAAAGTCAGTCTTCGTCAACAGTTTGTTGAAGTATTTGTCACCACATAGGAAATAATATGAACTAAGGACCAAAGAGATAGTACAGCATGTAAAACACTTGTCTTGCATGTGGCTGGCTCAGATTTGATCCACAGCACTACATAAAGTTCCCTGAGCACAATCAGGTATGGCCCAAAGTGTAACACAAACACACACCCAAAAACTGAGGGGCTGTAGTGAAAGTGCAGTGGGTAAATTACTTACATTGCATGGAGCTGACCTGGGTTTGTTCCTTGACACCACATAGTTCTATCTTTTAGCCTGCCACAAGTGATCCCTGAATGCAGAGCCAGGAGTAAACCCTGGGCACCACCAGGTGTAGCCCAAAAACAAAATTTGTTCAGAGTCCCAAGAGATTTCTCAGTGTTTGTTAGTTCTTGGTACTGTGTGGTCCTCCAGCAAAGATTTTGCTCAGAGAGATAGTACAAGGATCTCGGCAATTGTCTTGCACATGACCAATTCTGACTTGATCCCAGCCATCTTATCTGGCCTCCCAAGCACTGTGAGGAGTGATACCCTGAGCAGAACTCAAGATTTTGCTCAGTGTGAAGTTAACAGCCCGAGGGGGCCAAAAAGTAGGGTGCTTGTCATGCACGTGGCCAACTCAGCTCAATCCCATATGTTCCCCCCCCCCCCCCCCCAGCACTTCCAGGAGTGATTTCCTGAGTTCAGAACCAGAATTAGCCCTTGAGCACTACTGGGTGTGGCTCCCAAACAAAACTTGAAGATCTGAACCCAAGCCCTTTGCATCCCATCATTTATCACTCCACCTACATCAGTCTAACTCAGGACAGGAGATAATAGTTGAACCCTCAGGAACATTTTGAGAGAACTGTGGGTTGTGCGGAAACTCACTAGCTTCTTTTTGAAGGTTGTAGGAGACAGTAGGAAGTTTGTAGTTTGAAGGGGCATCTCTACCTGGGGAAGCAGCAAATGCAGGCAAAGGAACTTATACGGTTGGATTATGGTATGCTCTTTTGCCACTCAGCTTCCTAGTTTGAGATTAGAAGGGATTCTCCAACAAAGCAGTATTAGCAGCAATATCCATCAAAAATCTAAGTAACATATGTGGCCCTTCACATTCAAGGACTTTCACATCCAAGGACTAAACCAACCCATACCAACAGTTCAAATGCATATTCAATAGCTACCTGCACTTACTATTTGGTTGTCTATTTCAGAACCAGAGAGCTCAATGGGCTGGGGTACATGCTTTGCACACAGTAGGCCCAGGTTTGATACCTGTCATCACAGGCTGTGGTCCAAAAATACAAAGTAATCCAAGTTCAGGTTCCTTGTCAGTATGACTTCCTAGGTCCTATCCCTGCTCCTTATCTGCCTGCCAGAGTTGATGAGTGGCAGGATTAGCAATAAAGGAAGGCAGGAAACAAGAAGAGCTATTGGCCCAGACTTTGGTTCCACAGTCTCATTTCCAGTGACAAATCATGGCATACTAGACCCATGGGGTGAGCCAGACCTCAACCTGTTGCCCCCATCCTTGCTTGGTTAATAGGAAGAGGCGACATCAATTTAGTACAGGTTACCTTCCCGGGACTCATGGGTGAAAACCAGGGGGATGAAAATACATGAAGTTTTCTCTAACGCCTCCCAACAAATATCCCGTCTGTTCTTCAGTGCGGCATAACCTTTCCCAGGAGTCAACTTCTGACCCTGATTTCTATTTCTTGGCTGAGTTTAAGAGTCTTATCTGATGATGGAGTAAATCTACTTGTTTCTTTGACCTCTGGCTTTAAAATGTGCTCCCATTCTTTCCCATTCCACAATCCTTAGCCTTTGCTGGGCACAGAGGCATTTTGGGGAACTAATTGCTCTACTGCCTTTATCTCGTTGCAAGAAAGGAATTTTTGCAAAGGAAGAAGGGATTTTTATACAAGTACCGGAAGGCGACCTAGGGTAGATTATCTAAAAAACTACAGCCAGAATCATCAACAAAGT